AGTATGTTGAGTCCCAGGTACTGGGTTACGGTGGAAGAGACCATGAGCGAAAGATCCCGTTGTAGCTCCCCTTCAAACCAGGTGGTGATGTCATCGGTAGAGCCTATGTAGAGCACGTCGTCTACGTACACGATCAGCAGGATGTATTCGGCTTCCTTCGTGAGTCTGTGCATGCCCTGGTCGTATCGTAGTTGCTGAAAGCCGATGCGGATTAATCCGGCGTGTAGGTATTGCTGCCACAGCCGCAGAGCTTGCTTGATGCCGTACAGGGACTTCAGCAGCTGACAGGCTTGATTAGGGTCTATGTTGGATCCGTGTGGTCGCTCGACGAAGATTTCAGCGTTGATGGGAGCGTATAGAAACGCGTTAGCTACGTCGATTTGGCGGAGCTTCTTCTGCTTCATGGCGGCTATCGCGAGGAGGGATTCGTAAAGAGGTATGTCGGCTGACTGGCGCGAAATTCTCGGTGAAGTCTCGTCCGTGCTCTTGGTCGAAGCCACGCACGACCCATCGTGCTTTGAATTTGTTAATTGTCCCGTCAGCTTTCGTTTTCACGCGGAAGACCCATTTTCCCGTGAGAATGGTTTTGTTGCGTGCCACTCCGATGGGTACTATCTTCCAGGTGTTTCTATCTTCCAGCGCTTTTAACTCCCTGTCCATGGCTTCTCGCCATTTTTCCCTGTGCTCCCCCCCCAGAGCCTGCTGAACCGTAGCAGGCTCTCGCGGCATCGGTGCGCCATGGACTGCGGTGACGAGCCCAAGAATCTGCAGCCCACTCTGTGTGTAGCGAGGGAGATTTGGGTCCTCGGGATAAACTGCTTCGTCTCCCGCTTCTGGATCAGGTAAGAAGTTGGGGCCTAAGCATTATGAAAAGTTCGTGTTGAGCGGCTGGGGTGTAACGTAACCATTGTCGGCGAAGTCGTAGTAGACTTCGGCGTTGATGTTTTCGCGAGGGTTTTCGTCGTCCATCGGAATGGGTACCGAACAGTAGGGAAGAGGTCCGACTTCCTCCGATGCTCCGTCCACGTTTTGTTCATCCCATTCAGCCTCATCTGCTGGCGAGGCGAAGGCTCGGTTGCCACGGAAGCCGCCCGTGAGGTCTTGTTCTGCTGCCAAGTTGTCCAGGTACGTTTGGAGAGTGAGTCGTTCGTAGAAAATCACGTCAAGTGGTGCTACTGTTTCCTTCGAGTGGACGTCGAAAATCTTCCACGCGTTGTAATGTTTTTCGATGCCCAGGTGTAATCCCCAGTGTGCGCGTTGTGAGAATCGTCCAGCTCGTGCAGTGTGGGGTCAGTACTTTACCATGCAGCCAAAAACTCGTAACACTTTTGTGTTGCCCAATTTTCCTGTGCACAGCAGATGCGGTGATGCGTTGTTCGGAAGCAAGGATGACGAAAGCAAGTTGAGTAACAGCACAGCGTGGTCCATCGCCTCGGGCCATTGATGGTTGGGTAGTCGCATGCCACGTAGCAGCTTGCGCATGGTGTTCTGGAGGGTTCTGTTTATCCTTTCTGCCACGCCTTGCTTTTGATGCGCGTGGGGAAGAGAGATGGGTCTTTTATGCCTCTCTCCGCCAAGTATTGCTTGAAGTGCTGTGATTGATATTCTTCTCCCCCGTCTAACTGGAAATTTTTCAGCTTCACTCCTGATTCTCTCTCTGTTACTGGGAGCCAAGCGACGAAGGCTTCGAAGGCCATGTCGCGACTCGGAAGATTGAGGTGCCAGACGTATCTGGTGGCGGCGTTGATGAACGTGATTACGTAGTTGTATGCTCCCTGTCCGCTTTCGCGGGTGTACAGTATGTCGCTTTAGACCTTCTCCAATGGTGCGTATGCTTGCGTGCTCGGGTTGTGGTTAGATACGAACGGCTGATGAGGTAAGTCGGCTTCAGGACAGGTAAAGCAGGTTCCGCTGACTCGTTGAGGTTCTCTTCCGTCGGGTAAGAGTAGTGAATCTGCTAGTAGTGCCCTTGTCCGTTCTGCTTCAGGTATAGTGTGTGAGAGTACCAGAAGCCTCCGGGGCTGAAGTCTGAGTCGAGATCTGGTGGGTGTGGCCGAGTGGTGAAGTTGACGATCGCGTCGCTGTCAGCAGTTCCTTGATCTGGGACGAAGTCGAGAACGAAGACGTTGTTCTTTATGACTGCTTTCCCGATGTAAAGTCCGCCCCTCCCGTTGTACAGTTTGAATTCTTGAGTGGTGCGGTCGGCTTCAAGATGAATCCTTTTTGCCATGAGCTGGCTGACGCTTAACAAGTTGTAGCCCAATCCTTCTGCAATCAAAACCTTTGACATCTGCAAAACGACGTTAGTTTCGTGGGACTGAAGTTGAACTACTCCTTGTCGTCGTGTGTGCAGGTTCTGGTTGTTGGCGACGGTGATCACGACTTCCCGGTTGAGGTGTTGTTCTTGTTGAACGAAGCGATTTGACGAGCACATGTGTTGTCCGCAGCAGTTGTCCAAGAACTAAGTATCTTGACCGGACGGTTCGCTCTGTGCGATAGCTGCGTATGTCGGGTTTGGTTCCAGTGATTCCTGGTGAGGTGTGCTTTCGTCAAGCAATTCTTCTGGTGAGTAGGTCGGTGGTGAGCCGGTGATGCAGGAGTCTGTTGTTGTCATACAGCCTATGATGTTTCTTGTTCCTCGTGCAGGTTGTGACGTTGTCGTTGAAGGCAGCGCCTGATTTGAAGGATGCTGCTGTGTGGAGGTCACTTGACTACTTGAAGGTCAAAGGTGACGTGGTGATGGTGTCGATTGCTGCTGATTCGGGCAATGAATGCAAGAGTGTCCTGACGTTTGGCAGAGATGACAGAACGGTGGTACGTATCTCCATGCTTGGTGCTCTTGTTGCCGGTTGTTGTTGTTGTTGCGCCGCTGAGTGTGAAAGGCAAACTCCGGTGTTGATCCTCTTTTCTTTTGTCGTTCTTCATGCAGGTCCATGTCTTGTTGTTCGGCATGAATTTCGGTGCAGAGATTAGCTTTGGAGATTCTTCCGTGGGCTCGGAGAATGGCTCGAGTGGTGCGCCACTGAGGACCGAGACATGTGATGACGACAGTGACGAACGCTTCTTCGGATATTGATCCGCCGCATCGAAGGAGTCTATCGCGCAGGCCGCGACATCGACTGATATATGCCATTCCCTTTTCGCCGGGTTGCATTTGGACCGTTGTTAATTTTTCTATGAGACGACTTTGATTAACGCTGTCGGTTGCTTGATACAGGTTCTTCACGTGGTTGTACGCGAGCTCGGCGGAGTTTCCGTATCCGCGATAAGACCGAATGTTCTGCTGCTCGTTTGCCGTTATGTTTCGCAAAAGTATGGTGTACGCCATCAGTGACTGGTACGTGTACTGCTGCTTGTCGTACTGTGTCCCGTGCGTTGGATATGGCAGGGAGCCGTCGAAGAAGCCAAGAATTTGAGCGCCTTCCATCATCAGCTCGAATTCGAAGGACCAGGTATAGAAGTCCTTTCTGTCAAATGGTGTTGATGTTTGCAGTTTCAGCACGTGTGCAAATTGTGACTGCAACTGAAGTGCATCCAGTTGGGAGTCGATTCGGCATGAAGCTGACGGAGCCGCGTTGAGGTACATATGGTGCGAAGGTAGGCTGTTGATTTCCGCGCGCAAAAGATGAGTCGTCGAGACTCATGGGGGTGACTCCGTTGTTGTTGTCGCTGTTGGTTGACTGCGCAGGTGCCGCTTGTTGATGTTGCTCGTAGAACGACATGAAGGAGAAGAAATTCTCCATCATGCTGAGTCAATGCCAGTTGCTTGGTTCGCAGGAGTCTCAATTGACTCAACAGCTAGCTGGTCTTTGAGTTGTGCCTCCTTCTGTCTGCAGTCCAGAGGCTAGTGGTGGAGTAGGAGTAGTACCGGGAGATCCAGTAGACGAGCTTCTTTCCTTCAGTGTTGCCATGTCTTCTGTTGTTGCAGGAAGTTGAACAGAGTTGAATTTTGTCTTGCGGGCTCTCATACCATGTTGGGCTGAAAAAGCCCTTAGGATCGTTTTCAAGACTAAACTCTCAGAGTGGTGATGTATTTAGCGGAAGCGTAATAGTGGATTAATTGAACCACCTTGCACTAATACGTGAGAACAAGATGAGTTGATTATAGCAAAGAGATACAGGTTTTTATATGATTACAAGGAATACGAAAGGTTTGACTGTAACTGCTGTTGCGGTTCGATACAGCGGCGACTCGGGTAACTGCTCAATAGCGAGTCAGTTATGCGTCCTTGCTGTCGCGCTGCTTCGCTTAACCTCTTGCTGTCGTCTTCTTGTCAACGCTTTGGTTGACTCGGTGTTGTTTCCCTGTGAATATGCTTCGCTTTTGTTGTAGTGCTCGATACTTCTGAAGCGTAAACTAAATGTTTCCAACAAATTAGACAGCAATTCCGTATGCATTGGCGGCCCGCCGACCAGAATTTTCGATGTTGCATCTGTGGATCAACGCGACAAGTGAAACTGTGGGCCACTGGGCCTTTTTGTCTGCACGTTAACTGTGTCCGAATCCTCGGTAAAAAAGATCCGGTAATAGGGTATAGCAAAACGCACCCTGATCAGGAAGTGTAATTGAAACTAGCACCAGGGTAAAATACTTCTTAGCCTTTTTGCTCTAGGGTAAAAATTCTCATGCCGTACCCTGTTTCAGAAAGGGTAACTGGGAAAAAGCGGCCGCTCATCAGGGAAAACAGGGTATTTTACCCTGATAATTTGGGGCCTCGTCGGGACTGGGGACAGAATGGGTGAATCCCACAACATGAAAGAAGAGTACACTTACAGACATTAGGTTCTTAGTTATGTAGGAATACCGTAGACTTCCAACTGACATTTCAAGGATGAGATCCAGCTGATCTTCTACCAGCACCTTCCTCAGCCGGATAGGTTTTCAAGTGATTGGTGATTGAATGAACATGTATGTCACAGACCTGCTTTACATAAGCACTAGCATCCTACAGAAAGCCTTCTTATAAACTTCGTTCCAACCCCCACAATTACACAAACATTTACGACAGCTTCACATCAACCTCCACACCGTACGGCAGCTCCAGCTGCATCAGAGCATCAATGGTGGTTGCGGTCGGGTTCTCCAGATCAATCAACCGCTTGTGGGTGCGAATCTCAAAGTGCTCCCGCGAGTCCTTGTCCACGTGAGGGCTGCGCAGAACACAGTACTTGCGGATGTGCGTTGGCAGACGCACCGGGCCCATGATGCCTGCTCCGGTCTCCTTTGCCACTTCAAGAATCTGCTGGGAAGCTGCCTCCAGTTGAGGCACCTGGTACGACTTGAGCTTGATGCGGATTCGCTGCTTCTGGACAGCCTGAATGAGGGAACGGTATGGGGAGAGGGAGAGGTGGGAAGTTTACGGGAAGGGCAGGAGAGAGTAATGATTAGAAACTATCTACCGTGTAGTAGGAATAAAGGATTCTAATAATGCTAATGGGTACCATTGCAAGGATGCAAATGAAGCTGAAGAGGCCATCAGAAGCAGGTGGGGAAGTGCGCAGAGGAAGCACAAGGGGACGCTTTGGTGAGCAATGGCTGGATGGACAGCGCAAGAGCGAGCTGCTTTGCGTGCACTATAGACAACTCCAACGCCAAAATGTAGCGCTTGAAGGCTCCCTCCTTCAACATTTAGAAACCATGTCTGTCCACCTCCGTCTGCCCCACTCCGTCTGTCCACCTCCGTCTCTTTCCAATTCGTCTGTCCACGACCGTTTTGTTCCACCCATCAGTCCCCCCTTCACCTGTCCTCCTCCGACGTTCCCCTTCATCTGTCCCCTCCGTCTATCTCCCTCCATCTATGCCCCTCCCGCTTTCCCCCTGTATCTTTCCCCTTCCGTCTATCCCCCCTCAGTCTATCCACCTTCATCTGTCCCCCTCCGACTATCCCGCTCCGCCGTTCTCCCATCCGTTAGTCACCCTCCGTCTGTCATCCACCTCCCTCTGTAACCCCCAGTCTATGGGAACTACAACATTCAGGTCATTCTCTGGCAGGAAAGGCCTCCAAAATTGACAACTTTCCATCAGCAAGCTTCCAAAAAGTTATCCCCGACCGTTTCCATTCGCCTGCTCCAGACCCTTGAGAATTCTTAACCTAGGTTTCGCCAATGCGAGTCGAGATACAGCTCATGCGGAAAAGCAGCCATTGCAGCCGGGCAAGCCCTCACGAGCCCAGCCACTGTAACGTGCTGCTAGTCCCGCTTCGTCCGTCCCACGCTCCCGTCTTCCGTGCACAACGAGTCCTGTCATACGATCTTATCTCAGCCGAACCCCGTCGCACGAATCCACAATGCCCAGAACACAAAGAATCCCGGCTTTTGACGTTAACCGCTGACATAACGAATCCCGTCCCTTTCCGCTGACTGCCCACACAGCGCGACACGATACCACCGACAACGACCCCCCTCCAACAAACCCCCCTCTCCGACTTGTCAGACTCTCATTTAGCCACCTGCTCCCTTCCCACCATCGCTAAACCCCTTCCTTTCTTGAGGCGCCCTAAGGATAGACTAGAATCCCTCTAATCACTAAAAAAACGTGATTCTTAACCCCTTGGTGCGATTGGTCGATCTACACTGCTTCGACAGGAGAGTATTTTCTGGGACGCACCGGGGCTGCGACAGCAGCGGCGGCTGATTGCGTGGCGGCGGAGGCGGCGACCACGCGGCGGTGCAGGCGCGCGGAAGGGGAGGCGGAAGCCGCCGCGAGCAGCGACCGCTTGGCGAAACCGCCGGTGGCTAGCTGGCACGGCGACGAACCCTCTCCCGAGAGAAAGCTGGATTTCAAAGCTCCCTGAAAGCATACCACATGAATCTCCCGGAGGTAAGAACTAGGGTTAGGAGGGAAAAACAAAAGCATACCACATGAAACGGCGAGCTTTTCTTAACATGTGTGTCAGCGGGTAGTTCAAAGTCGCCACTGCGAGCATTACTGATGCTACTGATGAGACTAACATGAAAGGAACCGCGACACAAGTGAAACTAACATCAGCTCCTTCCCTGCTCGAAGTGAGACGTCATACGAGAGAGTTTCGAAGAATGACATAAAGAGTTTGGAGAATCTTGCCTGTGTGGGCGCGGAAACTGCTCGAACTGACAGTGCAGTGACGGCAGCCATGGTGGCACGAGTGGGACGGCAGACTAAAGAAGAGGACTTCGGAGTGCCGCACACACCTTCCTCCCTCTATTTAGAAGCACAAGGGTTTAGGAGAAACCTTCGGGAGAAAGAGTACTATTTCACCGCGCGGTTCTGACTTCAAACCACATACAGAGCAAATATATTTTTTGAAATTCAGGTTGTTACCGAACGACACCGTCTTGTAACTTTCTGAAACATAATGTACCTTTTACCACCTTCCGCCAGGTCCGGAGTTGTTGTGCGTGAATGGCGGTTATGGGGACGGTCATGAGGGAAAGTCTGGGAGTGGCGCAAAAGAAGGGCAAGTGCGCAAAAGGGGACAGGGAGTGCGCGGAAGTTTGGCGCGCATTCTGGATGAGGTTGCCTCGCCATTGCAGAGCGGTGATGGGATGCGCTAGGATATTGTACCACGTAAGCCCTAAGTAATGTGCAAAGTGGCTACACATGGTTCGTTCTTCGCTGTGAGCACATTCGTAAAAGTGACACTTGCCGCAGCCCCTCGTGCTTTGTGGCACACGCCTCAGGTTACCCGTATCCCTGTAACGTGCGCTTACGTTCGGGCTGCCTAGGCTCACTGCCGAAACCTCGGGAGTCAAACCAAGCTTGTTAGGCTTGGCACCTCCATACCTCACGTGTATGCCGGTCTTGCCCGCTCTAAAATTTCCGCAATCTGTTAAGGCCAGTAATATGGGCGCTGGATGACGTGGAACAGAGTGAGGAATCAGGTATGGGCGCCGCATGTCCTTCCATAATTTGTTCGCAAAGCTTGGTCTGGTCTGAAGCGGCTCGTGTCGCGTCGGTTCAAGTGTGTACATACCTGCTGAGCTGGTGGGGTAGAAGCCGTGCCCGATCCCAGCAGGACCCAATAGCGCAAGCCGCTCTGATAAAGAGGCGGCGGAGAATTTCGAACAGCCCGAAGTGTATACTGCCCATCTGCGAAAACAGTTCCAACAACCCAACTCCCTAGAAAACTGGAACTGTAACAGCAAATAGCCAAACATAGGACATTTATTACAATACATATCATCCTCAGGTCGTTTCCGGTCTCCCTTGTGACTTCGTGTAGCAATTTCTGAACTTCGCAAACCTGAAATCCGAGGGAGTGCATGTTTGCTTTGTTCCGAGCAGCGTTGGCTTTGGTCAGGGGCCACGGTTCGATGAATCTCGAACCATCACGTATGGCTACAGTGCTACCAGCCGCCATTCCTCGTGTCCGTTCTGCTTCCTCGTTCGTTGGTGCCCCTTCCCCATGCCACATGACCCTCCCTCCCAGCCCTGGCTTTCAAATCAGGTCACGACTCCCAAACCTTGTTCATTGAAGATGTCTAGGTAGGCGCTTTGGCATGAAGTTTTATCTAGACACCATGCACTTGCACGTTCATTTGTTAGCTTACAGAGAAACCGCAACGTGCCGTCGCCGTCCGCAAGTGCGAATACCTCATTCGCCAATTTATTATAAGCACACCCTGATAGTGTCTTCACAATCTAGGCTGCTTTCACGTGACGTGAGGAGGCACCAGCCGCGTGGTTCGACCATAGCACACCAGGCTCACCCTAGTTTAAATACTTGGTCCTCTCTATAAAAAGCTCCTGCGTGGAAGTATGGTATTCGACCAACTAGGTTTTGGTGAACACGTGCAACTTCGCCGTATGCCAGCTGCTCCGACAGTGCTTACAGAATAGCGCAGTTTTGAACTTTGCCCAGTTACCAAAAGTGTGTGTCAGCCGCAAACCGCCTACGCGGGCGGGAGCTCGTTTTGGACGTCTCAGAACCAGAATAGCCCAGTCCTGAACTTGTGCCGCGCGCGTCAGCCGCAGACCGTTTACGCGGGCAGCTCCGCGGGAATCGAATTGCGCGGCGCGAAACAGCCAACTCGAGCTGACCACACGGATCTTCTGAAGAAAAGCAGGGAGGAATATCTGTCAGTCGAGACGGGCGGAGCCATGGACGCCTCTTCAGGGGTATGGGACCTCACGGTCGCCAGTTTACCGCAACTTCTCCGCCAGCTGTCGCCATCCCCGCTAACAGCGTTGAACGGCAGCGGTGGCTTGGGGAATGATAGTAACTTTTTACTAAAGGGTCGGCCTCAGCATGGCATGCATTCGGGATTCAGTCTCCTATCGGGAGGTGAACCTTTTTACGACGGGTCGTTCTGGCGAGAAATCTTCCCTCAAGCTGATTTTTTTTCCGATAACTTTGTTTGGCGCGGCCTGCGCGACACGCTGCACTACCCCGGCCTGTCGCGCGACGTGTGTGCGACTGTGCTGACGACGGGGCTCGTCGTCGCATGGCTGCGGCTCTTCGACCTGCTCGCGCGGCGAAACTTGGTCGAGCGGGTGAGATTCTTCACGCTCCTTTACATGGCCCCACTTTTTTCTGTGTGTGTGTGTTTTTTTGTTCTTGTGTTCACATCGTTTTTCTTATTCGATGGACAAGCTCGCTCGCCTAGTGCCGCAAATACCTTGTAACTATCTGGTCCCTTCGCAAGTCGCTGCCTTTTGATGCGCCTTTGGCTTGTTACTGCCTCATCGTCGCCATCGCTCGTCGTCGGCATCGCCCATCGTCGCCTAAAGAAGCCGAGTCGCAAGATCCTCCGCATCACCATCGGCCTCTTACTCGACGACTCAAACAACCCCTCTTGTCCCCATCTTGCGACCGTCGTTCGCGCATCGTGTGGACGCAGTTGAGCCCTGTGTGACGTCGCGCAACTCATGCGACGACATTTGCGACAACTCTCAACTCTCACGCCCTGATTGCCTTAGGCCTATCCCCCGTCACCCATCCCCCGCCGTCTCTCGGAGAAGCTGAGTCGCGAGATCCTCCACATCACATCGGTCACCTGTTCATCAACGCTCACCTATTGTGCCCATCCCCCGGTGCCCATCCCCCATCCCCTTAATATCCCATCACCTCTCGCAGAAGTTGAGTCGAAAGGTCCTGCACATCACCATCGGCCTCTTCTTCGTCTTCGTCTGCTGGCCGCTCTTCAGGTACGACCGCCCCTCAGGTACGACCGCCCCTCAGGTACGGTCACTTCGTCTTGTTCTTCGTACCGCTTCTCAGGTGCGCGCAGCTTTCAGATTCTTCCGCTCCTCATCCCCGCCTTCTCCCTTCCCCCTCCCTGTTCCCCCAGCGCGTATCCGCAGGCGCGTTTTTTTGCAGCGGCGGCCCCCGTGGTGACGGCGGTGCAGCTCTTGCTCCTAGGGCTGGGCGTGACGCGCAGCGACGGCATCGTTAAATCTATGAGCCGCAGCGGTAGCAAGAGGTGAGGGAACGGGGGTCGCAAAGGGGAAGAACCCTGGGCTGAACAGGTGATACCGACGCTGGCGATTACGCGCAACGAAGGCATCGTCAAGTCCATGAGCCGGAAGCCACAGCAACAAGCAGCTGTTGCCGCTGGGGCTGGGGGTCATGCGCATCGATGGGATCGTCAAGTCCATGAGTCATCAGCAGCGATAGCAAGAAGTGTGGGAAAGGGTTGGATTAGGGAGAAGAATGCGCGGGGTAAGTGGAAACAAACGGGGAGGAGGGTGCGTGGAATGATGTTCCAGGCGGAACAGGTGTTGCTGGCGAGGTGAGTGAAAGGGCCATTTGCCGCTGCGCCTCGAATTCGCCTCGAATCCGCCTGGAAAATCGCACGGGGTTCGGGCTCAAGGTGCGAGGTGAGGGAGAGAGGTTTGGATGCGAGGGCAAGGAGCGCGCGACCAGTCAGTGAGCCGCGGCAGCAGCAAGCGATAAGGGGAATGGCCGGGTACAAGAGGGAAAGCGGGAAAGGGGTCGGGCGAAAGTTGCGAGGTTGCGGGGGTGCGTGCGCAAGGAGGAAGGGCGCGCAAGTGAGATTTGTCCGTGCGCCAGCCCTTTCGGATGCACTGGCTGCACTGCTGGGGTGTGGGCGGGGCGCAAGACGAGGGAATTGGCGAATATCATTAGTTTGCTATTTTATGTACAGTGGGAGGAGAAAAACAAAAGAGCATGCTATGTAGCAACATTTGAGTGGTTCTATGCAAATGCAAATTGGTCACACCCATGTTGCAATCAACCGTGATCGTGCTTTATGTTCTCTCCCTTCTCCATTCCTTTTTTTTTCTTGTGATATATGCAGCGAATTGTTAAGTGGGCCGTTGTGTTATGCGGTTACCATCATGCTCATGACTGTGGTGTTCTGGAGAACATCGCCTGTGGGAATGGTTGCTCTCGTAATCATGTGCGGTGGAGATGGTGAGTCAGCATGGGGGTGAACCAGCATGATGTGAGTCAGCATGGGCGGGACCCGCATGTTATGAGTCGGTCGTGACTCATCATGGTTTGAGTGAGATGGGCTTGTCAAACACCACCTTATCCTCCAATCTCTTTCTCTGGCAACTCCTTGACCTGCCCGTCTGACGCCTGCCTCGGCCGCATCTCTACACTTCTGATGTGCTCTCGCACATCTCTGACGCATTTCTGGCGCGTCTCTACCGTACCTAGTAGCACTGCACCTATCTGCACCTTTAAGCCTAATCCGACGCAATGCCTCTCCTCTCCTCAGGTGTGGCGGACATTGTGGGGCGGCGGTGTGGTTCCTGGAAGCTTCCATGGAACGAGCAGAAGAGCTGGGCTGGCAGTGCTGCCATGCTGCTTTGCGGGTTCCTCTTCTCACTAATGTACGTGTTTCAAAAACCTCTCATTAAGCGTGAAGACTAATGCATGGTAGGTCTTACGAAATTTTCTCACTGAAGTAGGTGTCTCTTAGTCCTGCTCAGCTGCAGTTTTAATTTCTGCTTTGCATACCTCCTCACTCACGTAGGTAGGTGTCTCGGATCCAGCTCCGAGGTTCTGCAGTTTCAGAATAAGGACATCCATTTATGCATTGCTTTCTCCTTCTGCATCTTCCAAAGCTCGACCTCACTTCTCCCCCATTTCCCTACCCCTTCATGAACCCACTCCCCTCCTTGTCTCCAAAATCGACCCCACCCAACAGCTATTTATGGTTCTTCTGTTTCCTCGGCTATTTCACCTGCCCCATTCCCTCCCACCCTCTTCTCCGGGTCTTTTTAATAAACCTGGTAGCTACACTAGTAGAATCTCTGCCTATTAATGGGTACATTGATGACAACATCTCCGTGCCTGTCACTGCTGTGCTTCTAAGCAAGCTGCTACTAGCGAGTGCATAGCCAATGTGCCTGAAACAGGAGATTGGGTGCTTGATTTATTAGTAAGCAGATTTCTAGTCACCTAGCATGTACTGGCTTGATTTTTTTGTGGTGCCAAGAATAAAGGCAGCATTGCATGTCTAGAGGAGTGCTTGAATTCATTATTTCATTATAATTCCTGCTGAGAACGAATGAACTGCCATATTAGAAGCTGTGTAAACATCTTGTTTATAATGTTGCCTTTGGATGGTTGATGTTTGACTTTAGGAGTAGCACACACCTTTTTAGCACCACAAATAACGGTAAAAGGCACCAAACTGTAGACAAGACAAGCACGTGCAACAGTTGTGTAACGTAAAAAACACTATAAACGCCCTACGGAGCAGCCTTGGTGGATGCCTGATAAATGCGGAAGGCAGCAAAGCAGACAGTGCAGTTGCCAAGGAGGGTCATGAAGGACTGTAGCACGACAAGAACCTGATGGTAGGGCAGATAGAGGAGGGAGAGAGGTGTTTCAAGACTTCAGAAGTGGTACAGGCAGCAGACGGCGCAGTTGCCAAGGAGGGTCATGAAGGACTGTAGCACGACGAGAACCTGACAAGACGGACAGATGGGGGAAAAAGAGGAGGTGAGACTTGAGCTGAGACACACCAGGAACCTTTTCAGTCCACTCCAGGCAGACAGTGCAGTTCCCAAGGAGGGTCATGTCATGGGGGACTGGAGGACCATCTTACTCGGATGGGAGGGCAGAGGGAGGACAGATAGAGGGAGAGGAGGGCGAGGAGGGCGAGGAGGGCGAGGAGAGTGAGGAGGGCGAGGAGGGTGAGGAAAACGAGGAGGGTGAGGAGGGAGAGGGGCTTTCATTTGACTTCATAAGAGAGTAGACACACCGGAGTGCATGGCATGAGATGAGGCATCAGGCATGAGGCATGCTTCACACCTCTAGCTGCGGCGAGTTGTAAAAAATGGGCCATGTGCAAGCGCACATGGCGGCCATGAGGAGGAGAGGCACCATGGCCCATGTATGTACATGCGATGCGCTAGAGTGATTGGTCAAACCTCAATTACCTCGAACTGAGGTGAGTTGTAGAAGAAATGCCACGTGCAAGCGCACATGGTGGCCATGAGCAGCGGCAACATGGCCCATGCCATCCCCCATGGCATGGCCGCACGTTAGTGCCTGGGTGTACCAATCTGCTTCCCTCATACGAACCTCTAGCTGCGGAGGATTATAGAAGAAGTGCCACGTGCATGCGCACATGGCGCCCATGAGGAGAGGTATCACACGCCAACCCCCCCACGCAATCACAGACACACAGATAGACAGACAGACAGACAGACAGACAGACAGATAGACAGACAGACAGACAGACAGACACACAGACAGACAGACACACAGACAGACAGACAGATAGACAGACAGACAGACAGACAGACAGACAGACAGACAGACAGACAGACAGACAGACAGACAGACACACAGACAGACAGACAGACAGACAGACAGACAGACAGACAGACAGACAGACAGACAGACAGACAGACAGACAGACAGACAGACAGACACACAGACAGACAGACAGACAGACAGACAGACAGACAGACAGACAGACAGACAGACAGACAGACAGACAGACAGACAGACAGACAGACAGACAGACAGACAGACAGACAGACAGACAGACAGACAGACCCCTACGTACGTACAGCCAGTTGTAGCCCTGTATTACCTCTAGCTGCGGCGAGTTATAGAAGAAATGCCACGTGCACGCGCACATGGCGCCCATGAGCAGCGGCACCATGCCCCATGCCAGCCCCCTCCACGCCCTCCTGCTCTCCGCTGCTCCGTACTGCCACACCAGCGCCATCGCCACCACCCTGGGAGGAAAGAGGGGGGGAGGGTGAGGAGCATAAGATAAGAACAGAGCGGTGATTGGATTGGGCCATGGTGACCACCCTGGGAGGGAGGAGAGGGAGGACATGGAGAGGAGTTGCGGTGACTGACAGGTGGGGAGCAGGAGATAGGGCGATGCCTGACGCATCACCCACGTTCCCTTGACGCCCGCCTGCTCTCCGCTGCGCCGTACTGCCACACCAGCGCCATGGCCACCACCACCCTGGGAGGGAAAGGAGAGGATGAGGGGGAGGAAAGAGGGGGAGGAGCGTAAGAGCCACAAGGTGAGATGAAGGGATGAACCAACCTTGTGGTTGGCATCGAATGAAGCATCCTGCCGCACCAACCTAGGACGTCAGCACCACCCTAGGACGTCAGCACCACCCTAGGACGTCAGCACCACCCTAGGACGTCAGCACCACCCTAGGACGTCAGCACCACCCTAGGACGTCAGCACCACCCTAGGACGTCAGCACCACCCTAGGACGTCAGCACCACCCTAGGACGTCAGCACCCCCCTAGGACGTCAGCACCCCCCTAGGACGTCAGCACCCCCGTAGGACGTCAGCACCCCCCTAGGACGTATTGATGCTTCGTTCATCGCCGACTTGTGGTTGGAGATGAATGAAGCATCAAGACGTCCTAGGGGGGGGGGGTGCTGACGACAGCACTGAGTGATACGTCTTATGATACCCCTGCCTCTGTTAATCTCCTCACATCCACCTGCCCAAGCGGCGTTTGTTCCGAGTCGCGCTCACCATTCCACCACGCTTGCCACGTGGATGATCCACGTGGGCAGCGACAGCGCGTTGGAGGGCTCGTCAGCCAATGAGAGCGCGCCAAGAAGAAACAGCTGACTCAGACTCGCCAATGCGCCATCGCCAGCTGTCCCCGCCGCGGCGCCTGCTGCTGCTGCTGCTGCTGCTGCTTCTGCTACCGAGCTGACGTCAGCACCGGTAACCGCATTAACGGCTGAAGGGGCGACAAGAGCACCTAAGGCTGTGACTGTAGCGAGGGTGGGAATAGCGAGCAGGGATGTGGCATTCTCGGAATGTAGCGAATCGGCGGTCTCGGGAGGAGAGGTAGAGGGAGAAGAAGAGAATCTTCGTGCCGGATTCCGTGATTCTGCGACCGCGAAGACGGGAGGTACTATGGTGGACCTTAATTGCCGCAACGGTCCTAATCTCGTCTCATGAGACCCTTTCGAGCGAAACAGCCGCGCGAACGAAGCGCGAGGTGCAATGGATGAATCTAGACCGAGCTGAGCGGTTGGCGGTTGTTGCGTGGCGTGGGTGAGCGGCGGCAGTGACGCCCTCGTGCTGCTTGCAATGGCCGCCATGGCGATACAATTGATGACGGAACAAATGAGGTGGCGAATTTCTGTTTAGTTATTATTTGGGATATACATTTGATGGTAGTGATTCTCATGGATCTGTGGCGCAATGGTAGCGCGTCTGACTCCAGATCAGAAGGTTGCGTGTTCGATTCACGTCAGGTTCAAAACCTGCTTATTGCGTTTTTTTCCGTCGGTTCCCTCCCTTTACTGCACTACCAAGAACGAATGTCATTTGCTGTCTTGCATTTGGGTTCCAATTCTTGCTTGCGAGCTATGCCGTCTGCTGCATTTGCGTTGCAGTGTCAGCGAATAGTGCTGCTTTATATGTAGTCTATCTCGTCTCCTCACATTGGGTCAAGGGCGCTTTGAAGGCAGCGAATAGTGGTGGTTAGTCTCACTTGGCACTCTCCTCTCTTCGTTATTGAAGACCTCGTTATTATACATTCTGTTGGTAGCCACTCCGTTATAACTCACTTCGTTATTAGTTTCCCGTTAGCGTAGAGTTCCCTCGGTTTCTCGCTTCTCGCTCTTTTCCTCCTCTTTATTCACAAGCTGCCCCTTTTGAGGCGCCTCAAAAGATTTCCCCTCCGTTTCTCGCTTCCCGCGCTTTTCCTCCTCCTCTTTATTCACAAAGCTGCCCCCTTCCCGTCAATGGCTAGCGGTTCGCGAAAGAGGCGGTTAGCATTAACTACCCACGCGGATAGCGGCCTTCTGTCCGAAGCGCCTTCTCAAGAAGCGCTATCTGGAATCCCTCCCGCGACCGCGATTGGTGGGAGCAATGTTGCGCTATCTGATAGCCCTCCCGCGACCGCGATTGGGAGAACTGCTGTGCTATTTGAAAGCACTCCCGCCATTGGGATTGGGAGCACCCGCGCGACCGCGATAGACTTAATTACTCCTGCTTTTACGGGAGGTAGCACTCCTCAAACCGCGATAGTCTTGGCGGAAACGGGTCGTTGGGGAACGGCCGCGGCAGGTCTGGGGAGGGCGCACGGAACGATTGGCGCAACGGCGGAAACCGCAATAGACTTGGGGGAAACGGTGATAGACCCGGCGGAAACTTTGATAGGCGTGACGGAGACCGGCGCAAGTCACGGCCGGAAGCGCCAAGCGCGCCAAGCAACGGAAACGGCTCTCACAATCTCAGCCGTTGGATCGACTCCCTCACCTTCTCGAGCCGTGAGAGCCTCGCGAGGGTCGCGAGGCCGAGCCGCGAAGCCAGTAGTGGAGAAGCGCTTAACGCGTTTCCTTCCGCATCCGTCGCGCGCGGTTCTAGACCGAATAGAACGCGCTTACGTGCATCGTCTGTACTTAATCGGCTTTGATTGGCCACGCGCGCCCCGCGGAACTGGCAGGGGCGCTAGCGGGGGGAATGTTGCGCCTGGCTCGGGTGGCGCAGGTGGCGCAGGTGGCGCAGGAGATACAGGTCTCGCTCTAGCTCTTCCGCCTCCGCTCACCCCTCTTCCCCACAACCTTCCGCCTCCGCAATCTCCCCAATCCCACTCCTCCCACCCTGGCGCATCGTCTAGTGCTCTCGCTATTTCCGCCCCTCCCAAGTCCGCCCCCCCGCTCCTCCCATGCTCCTGTAACTTCCACGTGCTCGGCGCAACCGGTAACGTGTACACGGTTACCATCTCCCAGCAGCCCTCGTGCACGTGCCCAGACTACGGCAACGGCAATCTGTGCAAGCACGTGCTCTTTGTGCTGCTGCGCGTGCTCCGCGTGGACGAGGAGGATCCGCGCGTGTGGCAACACTCGCTGCTTTCAACCGAGCTGAACGAGCTTCTGGATAGGATAGATGCGCTGGAGAGGAGAACACTTGCTGCTGCTGCGGAGGGCGAGGAGATTCTAGCGAGTCCAGCTGTAAGGGAGCAGTTTGCACGCATTGCAGGGGGGCCTTCAGGCTCTGGTGCTCTGGGCTTGACTGATTCGAATTCCAGGAATGAAGGTGGCAGTCAGGCTGCAGTGGGGGAGACGGACCAGAGGCCAAAGCAGCGGCCGATTGAAGGGGACTGTCCAATCTGTTATGAGCCTTTGGGAGGGGAGGGAGTGGGGAAGCGCGGCAGTGGGAAGGCAGCAGAGGCTGTGGTGTTCTGCCAGCGGTGTGGCAACAATGTTCATTCAGACTGCTTCTCGCGTTGGAAGGCTGCCAAGAGGGGCGGCATGGTGACGTGCGTTTGGTGCAGGGCTCCTTGGGGGGATGGCAGCACTGCGCACAGGGCTAGGGCACACCATGACAGGGATTCTGACAGTGATGGTTATGAGGACGAGGAGGGGCCTCAAGAGTATGTGAATCTGTCAGAGTATTCTGAGGCTCACAGGAGTGCAGATGCCAGCTTGGAATCTCTGTATCCAGATACACACATGTTCTTTGGTGGAGGAAGGAGGAGGCTGAGGCGGCCTTGGTGGTAGTGAGGGCTTTGTGTTGTTTAGGGTAAGCTGGGCTACTGTATATGTGCGAGGATAACATGAATTTTGTGTGTTATAGCTTCATGGGCGTTGGTGGAGAAAGCAAGCTGGGCAAGTTATGTTGCCTGCACTACATTTAGAATGGTTCAGTTCAGTAACTATGTCAGCCTGCATCCTTTGCCGAGAGGGGAAAGGAAGTTAGTCGGCTACTACCGGTAGAGAAGTCTAGCATATCTAAACCCCCACACTAGCACCCTTATAAATACCCTATCCATAACTACAAACTTGTCAGAGTGACCTGATGTGCTCACGAATCCCAGTAGCATATATATGCGTACTAGTTCTGGGGAATGGTGAACAGCGGTCCGCGAGGGCCTCGAGGGATCCCAGACTTCTGCGTTGCAGCCTTAAGATTTCCAGGAGAAGGAGCGCCTCGCTTGGGTGAGGGCACTGCTTTTGAGGGCACTGGCACAGGCCCGTGGGCCTGATTGGGTCGATGACACATCCTCAAAATGTCTTCCTCTGTTGGAATCTCAAACCGCCGCTTCTTTGGCGTTCTTGACGTATGTGCATCCGGCTGCATTGACAAAGCACACTCGCTCATGTGAACATGATACTCCAAAGAATCACATGCTGATGAAACAACGAAGGGTTTCGATTATAAGTACCTTCAGATCCTCATCCACATATCTCTTCATGCCTCCCTTCACGCCCTCAACTTGCTGCTTGTGGTGGTCCAGTGCCAGAGGCACAGAATGAGCTGACTCAGAAAGCGAGGATGCGATACTAGTGAGCTTCTCCTGCTGTGCACCATAACTTCCTGCAAGGGGGAAAACGAATAGAGAAACATGTGTTTATAACATGCAAGGTGGCGTTGACAGGAGTTTGAAGCTTGAGAAATTCATGGTTTACCTGAAATCATAGCGACGAGCTTGCCAGCTCCTGCATTGCACGTTGTCTCAGCCTGCTTTTGGTCAGCTGTTGTACTGTTGCCAAGGCTGGTTGACTCCAGATTGCGTTCCCTGCCATTGTAAACCAAATGATTAGAATGATCTTTTGAGAAACGAAGGCAACCAGACTGCAAAACTGATGCGGAAAAAAACACTTTCAGTGTGCTTACCCAATGCTCATTGTCAAGTGGTCACAATGAGATTTGGACTGTGATGCAAGAAGTGATCGCTGCTGATCGCCATCTACATCCATCCTTTCCACGCAATCCACACTGCATTAGGGGATACAGAGGAAGTTGAGGACGAGGACAATTTATGCACGTGTCGTGTGTGTACATGCAGGTGCAACTCAATGCATTCACGATGGCTCAAGGAAAAAACAAGAGAGCAGCAGAGAGGAGAAAGTTGAAAAAGTGGAAACAGTAGAGAGGGAACAAGAGGATCAGAGCGGCACATGGATGTTGAAACTGGCTGAGGAAGGTGCCTACCACGAAGCCACCATCTCGCCAGCTTCAGACTTCTTGCATGCAACTTCATCTGAGGCCTCTGCATCTGCCGTGGCTTCCTTTTGTCGAAAATCAGCAATGATGCTTGACATGTTAGAGTAATCACCCTTTACAGCACGCCTTTTATCATCAGTCGCGGAGCATAACTCGTTCACACTGGCTGCCGTGCGAGCAATCCCTCGCTTGACCTGAAAATGGCAGGCAGTCAGGCATTAGGTAACATTGCGTTGGTTCACGAAATGACAGGCTGAATCACGTTCTTCGCTCACGCACCGCGCCCTTGGTGTTGGTCTTCCCTCGCTGTACAATCTCGGTCACTGCCTCTAGAATCTCATTGATCTTCTGATCTTCAATATCCTGCAATCACAGAAATGTAAGCCAATGAGATATAGTTGTCACCTTCAAACACGGATGCAAACCCCACTTGCAACTTACCATCACCTCCTTCTCTAAAATGCTCATATCCTCTTCATGACTCTCCTTGTGATGAGCTATCATCTCGGACCAAGCGGTTGTCTCTTCATGTAATCGTCCAATGACGGTATCCAAGGACGTCAGGGCAGAAGATGACACTGCGCTGCGCTTCCCTGAATACTGCAATATCCAAACGACAATGGATTAGCAGAACGAAAGTTGAACGCTTGAAACCCTGGCAAGTCGATAATGCCTACCTGATTCCACCAGCCTTGCACGTTGTCCCAGCCAGCTGAGAGACCTGTCAGCAAACTTCGAATTTGCTGAAGTGATGCTTTGGATGACGCAGAAGCTTCTTCAAGTAACTGCAGGGAAACGGTAGCCTTGCATGAGCAAAATATCCAGTCTTTGGAGCAATATAATGGGGAGAAAAGTATTTCTTACGAACCTTCTCCATTTCCTCTTGCTGAGGGCCAAGACCGTCCACCAGGGACTGGAGAGAACTGTTGTTCTTATCCACGAACTGCTGCACACGCTCCTTCATGAGTCGTGTCACTCCCAACACCATCTGCTGCAACTGAGACACCTCCTCCGTCACTTGGCCCAAATCCTGCATCGAATGGATTGGTTAGTCAGTCACTCACAGTTTGAAAGGCATGAATGCTGGCAACTTAAGAGAATAGGGCCACGTTTTGTCAAATACCTTAGTTGACTGGCTGAGGACGCCTTCAAGGCCCTGTGTTGCTTGCTGGTCTTGTGAAGCGAGAATCTCCATCTGGGTTACTATGAAGGCACGAACATTATCAACTTGGCTGTCCATCTGCTGCTTCAAAATCGTAGCTGCAGCTTGGTTGTGGACTGAAGTCTCCTGCATTCTCTCTGAACAAAAGCAACTGTCAGCACAAGCCTTTTTAAGCAGCACGGAGTTCGGATAGCAACCAAGCTTACCAATCTTTTCAAACAGCCGATCATTGTCGTGATTGACAGTCACAAGCATTTGTCGAAGGCTATTGCAGGTGACAACCAGATGTGACTCTGCCATCAAGAACAGGGCCGCAATGAGAATCACTTAGCAATGATAAGATGATGAAGTAATCGAGTTATGTCGACCCACTAACGAGAGTGGGAGGCTGAGAAACTCCAATGCAAAACAGACCAGAAACATAACAATTACCAGCTTGAGTCATGCTTGCAATCGTTGATACTGCTTCTTGGAGATCAGCTTCAGTCTTCTCCAAGATTCGGGAAAGCGAGTCAACTTGTTTCTGAAAAAACACAACATCTGAGAATCTCAACACATCTATGACAACAAAAGTACTCTGTACGATTCTTTTCAACAGAGAACCGCATGACTTCACTCAGTGGTCTCTTTTACCTGAAGACCATCTCTTTCCTTGGTCAAATCATCTACTTGACCCGAAAAGACCTCCAGTTGGTCATTCAGTTGCTTGATCTCCTGCACATGGCAACACTTATTTTCAGGTGCTGCTAAGAGACCAAGAAGATTTTCACTACGTGTGCAACACATTTCTTACCTCTGCCTTCTGCTCGAGCTCGTCACTGTTTTGGCCAGTCAGGTCCTTGAGGGACTGCACCTGATTTAGCAGGTTCTCGTGCTGCTGAACTGTCAGATGAACGCCTTCCTTCTCGCGCTGCGCCTTCAACTCTGAAACATAGATCCGCCATTTGAGTTACAGCAGGAAAAGTAGAAGGTAACAACAGACAGGCCAGCAGCAGTTCCATACCTTGCTTCAACCTCTCAACTTCTCCTGCCATGTCCTTCAGTAGCTTTGACTTCGTCGTCCTTGCATTAACCTGGAAATTTAGACAAATGTCAGATTTCATGTCCTTTCCAGATCATCAGATGTGGATAGTATGCCATGCTCACCTCTGGCTTGTTCTTTATATTCTTAGCACGCTGAGCATACTCTAGCGTGTTCAGTGTCTCTTCCAAACAAGGCGCGACAGGAGAGACTGTTGCAATAATGCAAGTCTTCGTCCGGCCTCCAAGAGAGTCACGAAGCAACCTTGTGAGTTTGCTGTCCCTGCATGATTCCAAGTTGTAATCAGTGTGAGCCCATCGTTAAGATCCATCTACCATTGACTGATTGCAGCAAATCGTTTTACCTGTAAGGAATGTGACCTGTGTGGTCTACAAGGGCTGTGATGACTCGTCCCAAAGTCAAAAGGCTCTTGTTGATTTCACCAGCTTCTCGTGCACGACCCTGAAAAAGAGTGTGAAATAATCAGTATGCTGAAATGAACCATCCAGAAGGCTTCACGCACCAGTACTCACTTCTTTGGCGCCGGATCGTCCTATGCACTCCGATCCAGCAAGGTCGACAAGGTTCAACTTCCCGCACTTGATCAGTTCCACACCCTCCGGAGTCGACTCTTTGATGTGAATAGTGATTGTGAAGATGGAATGGGAGCGGCTGCACATGAAAGGACATAAGAACACAGCACATTCAGGTTCGCTCAGGCTGTCATAGAACCACAGTAACAAGTAAGCATGAGTAAGTGATGCAAACGAACCTGGACTGCTTGTTCAGCATCGTCTCGGCTGTCCGTCGCTTGGCCGTCCCCTTTTCCAATAGTGTGAAAATGTCAGACGAGTTGTTAACAACCTCCTCTTCAAGGCCACGTACAATCACTCCGCCTTTACCATCTTCCATCAAGGCGAGTGGCTTCTTTGACTCGGACGCCACAAGGATGTCGTTTGGGGCCAGAAGGTCCGTTATCTCTTCGTTGTAAAGCTCCAGGTAAGTTACTTTGATGTTGTACTCGGCCCCCTGACTATCAAGGGTGTCGAAGATATGCTTGATAGACCGTGGAATAACTCCTGCTCCTTCCGGAAGTTGGCCATTCTCCTGCGAAATAATCAGACACGCTGTCAGTACGGCAGGGAAAATGTCAAATAGGGATTCAGAACGCAGTTCGGCACTCACTCCAGCTCGAGTTACGTCTCCTTGCATAGTAAAGGTCTTCCCTGTCCCAGTCTGGCCGTAAGCGAAGATCGTACAGTTGAAACCTTCGAGGACCTCCTCTACAATAGGTGCGATCGCGAGCTTGTAAAGGTGCTGCTGCTTCGACGTCGGTCCAAAAACCTGCAGAGGACATCCGTCAAGCTCTCAGCGAAATGCGACCTCTAATTGGAGGCTGAAACGACCTTGCTCTGCAGAAAGCTTACTCTATCAAAATTAAACGCCTTCTCGCTTGACTTCCCCGCGACATTATGGGCGACCATGACCTCCTTGCGGGATTCATTGCATTTGACCACCTGTTGTGCTCGCAGCCGCACATCGTCCGAGGATAATGGCCTGATCAAGAAGGCGGCGACGATCAGAAATCGCGAATCTGATTCCTATTAGCTTAACAGAAACCACCATCGCAAATATTTACCTGCATCGCAATAATACTTGGACATTTACTCCTTTGTCAGTGTTGGACGCCATTACTTCCAAGCTTATTCCAGTCAGTTTAGCTCTTATACGACAATCGTACTTGAATTTGACACACACGCTATGCCGGTCGTAAATCACAAGACAGAGCACTATTAGTCAGCAGCCTAAACTGCTGTTCGTAGGACGTTACATCAATTTCCGTGACTTCACTCCCTGAGATTCAGTGACTACGAGGAATAGCGTGCTTGATTGCAGAAGAGAGGGAGATGAGGAGGATTCGTTTTTCCTGGTCTCCCTGCTGTGTTCGTCTCTCTGTTCTTGGGTGCATGGTCGCATCGCGTCAGACCTAGAAAATGCCGCGTCAGTCAGAAACTGCTTGTCAGAATTCAAAATGTTGGCGCCCAAAAGATTCCGTTCGCTAAGAGATGAGCTCGCTGTCGAAGAGCACCAAAGATGAGGAATCGATGTAGCCCATTAGCCAAAAAAATCATAGCACAACAAAAAGTATCCAAAGAGTAATAGCAAGATCCATCAAGCAGAGATCATCAGACCTACCTGGCATTATGTAGAACTAGCTGAGCATTAATCAAGAGTTAAAGCCGTACTAGTGATACAGATACTGCCGCTTATTTGTGCATATTGCTGTCTACTGCAGCAGCGCACGGATAATGTGCTTCACATTGAGGCGGCGCAGGTCAGTGTACATCTGACCACAGCCGACAAAAATTATGGGCGCCCCAGATACATACACCATGGACAGGGCAGCACCGACCTGCTCACAAAAAAAAAGCAGAAAATCCATAAAGTAATCTGCTGATACTAAACCAAAACATGACTATTTTGTTGAAATACGAGCAAAATCAACCTTATCTCTGTAAAATGACCATTAGAGCTCACCTTATCATCAATAGTGTCAAACTTGGTGAGTAAAATGCCATCAATGGCGTGGGGAGTGGGCGCTGAGGAGAGGTCAGCCAAGCGCTGGTTAAACTTGGTCAGCTGATCCACTGCATCGTTGCCCACCAGTGCCTCCCCCACAAACAGAACCTGCTCTCGGGCATGGTGGATGGGATGGATGGGTAAGCATATCACATCACATACATAAACTGATTTATGAGGCGCCTCAATAAAGGTCAGCTGATATGAACTAGCCAATACCTGTAGCAATGTACCGTGGAGAAATGCAACAGCAACCCCAGAGCAGCTAAACCTCATCAATGACAAAACGGCCACAGAAACACACAAATGGTTGGAAGTTGGAACCTCATCAAGTTGGAACCAGTCTCGTTGATGTTAATCAGTTTGGAGAGCGCTCGCATGAGCGGCTCGTTGTCCTGCATGCAGCCAGCCGTGTCCACCAGCACGGCATCCATCCTGCTGCCATCCTCTTTCAGCCAGTTCAGGAGGATTCAACACAGCCATACGCACCAGGCCAGGCAGTCTGGCTGGACTGATCCTAGCTACACCCACCCCCGGCCGCACACAGCCACACACACCCACACCACACCCACACACCAGATCAGGCTCGTTGATGTTAATTAGCTTAGAGAGCGCGCGCATGAGCGGCTCGTTGTCCTGCATGCGCCCAGCCGTGTCCACCAGCACTGCATCCATCTTGGTGCGCGTCGCCTCCCTGATCGCCTCCTTTGCTACTACTGCCGGGTCCTTCTCATACCCCCGCTCAAACAGAGGGATCTGAGGGGGGGGAGCGGGAGGAGGGGAGGGAAGGGAGCAAGAGGTAGAGAAATAGAGAATGAATGAGCCTCTCTGATCGCCTCCTTGGCCACCGCATCTGGGTCCTTCTCGTACCCCCGCTCAAACAGAGGGATCTGGCGGGGGAGAGGAGGAGGGGAGAAAAGGGAGAGAGCAATAGAAAGAGACACACGCACCTCATACCATCCCACTAAATAGGTGCTTTAAATTCACACACACCTCATATCATCAGACTACATAGGGGCTTTGAGGAAGCACCCACCTGCAGCCTCCTGGCGCGGAAGGTGTCGCACACCGCCACCATCACCTTGATGTCGTGCTGTGACAGCCAGGGAGTCACGCAGGGCCGCACCTCATATTATCCGACTAAGTAGGTAGGGGCTTCGAGGAAACACCCACCTGCAGCCTCGCTTTGAGGAAGCACTTACCTGCAGCCTCCTGGCGTGAGTGCGGAGCTGCTCCACAGCGCCTGCGCGGAAGGTGTCACACGCCGCCACCATCACCTTGATGTCGTGCTGTGACAGCCAGTAGGCCACCTTGGCCAGGTTGGTGGACTTGCCCACCCCGTTCACCCCCACAAAGACCACCACGTAGGGCCGATTTGCTTCCTTGGCAGCCTAATGAGGGTGGAGAAAGAGGGTGATAGAGAAGGAAGAACTACAGCTGAGTCTATGCAAAAGGCTGGGCTGCGACAGCCAGTATGCTGCCTTGGCCAGGTTGGTTGATTTGCCCACCCCGTTCACACCCATAAACACCACCACCTAGGGGCGATTTGTTTCCTTGGCAGCCTGGGGGGAGTGGGAGTGAGAGAGGAAGAGAAAATACAGCTGAGTCAATGCAAAGGCCGGGTTGTGACAGGCAGTAGGCCACCTTGGCCAGGTTGGTGGACTTGCCCACCCCGTTCACACCCGTAAACACCTCCACCTAGGGGCGATCCGGCTCCTTGGCAGCCTGGGGGGAGAGGAAGAGTGTGAGAGAAGGAGAAAGTACAGCTGAGTCACTGCAAAAGGAATGCAGTGCATGGTTGGTGCATTTACAGGCGCTCACCCACTCACCTGAACATCGCGGAGAATGTCGATGGAGCGCTTGGGCGTGAGGATGCGCGTGAGAGAGAGAGAGAGAGAGAGCGTCCTACATGGCTGCCTGCACGGTGCAGTGCGGTGTACAGGGGCGCGTGTAGCGCCCCTCACCTGCACCACCAGTGCACCTGCAGTGACACGATGAGCCACTCACTCACCTGTACATCCCTCAGGATATCGATGGAGCGCTTGGGCGTGAGGATGCGCGTGAGGGCGTCCTCCATGGCGGCCTGCACGGAGGACGAGATGCGAGTGAAGGACGCGTGCTTGCTGCCCACCAGGCTCGATGCCACAGAGCGGCACAGCTTCTCTGCTATCTCCTCCGCCTGAGAGGTGAGAAATGCACACGCGCACACACAGGCACACACACACACACACACACACACACGCACAAGAGAGAGGGGCCTTAGATGCGCGTGAAGGACGCGTGCTTGCTGCCCACCAGGCTTGACGCCACTGAGCGGCACAGCTTCTCCGCTATCTCCTCCGCCTGGTGGGGTCGGCCGGGGTTGGGAATGCATGCACACACGCGACAGAAAGAGAGAAGGGCTCTTTAGCTGCGTGGGACGCGTGCTTGCTGCCCACCAGGCTCGATGCCACCGACCGGCACAGCTTCTCCGCTATCTCCTCCGCCTGGTGGGGTCGGGTTGAAAAAAAAAAAAAAAAAAAAAAACAACCACGAAATAAAATCAAAGCAGGGAAAAGGGAACAGCGTGGAGTTGGACATTAGGGACAATGAGAGACAAGGCAAAAACGGATGGCAGTAGAGTGACAGGAGGGCGAGACAGGAAGGGATGGAGGGATGGCAGCATGGCAGGGCGGGACAGCTTACCACGTTCTTGGTCATGAGTCGGTCCTTGAGCACCTTGAGCGACGGCTCTATGTCCGCCAGCTCCAGAGATGCCTTGCCCACCACGCTGATGCACCGACGGCGGTGGGTGAGAAGATGGGGAAAAGAGGGGAGAGGAGGGAGAGAAGGGGAGGCGCGTGAGGTAATGCGACCATACAGAATGTGTGGTCAGCCCTATGTCCGCCAGCTCCAGAGAGGCCTTGCCCACCACGCTAATAGGCGGGGTGGAGAGAAAAGGGAGAAAAAGGGTTGAGATGATGCGACTGTACAGAGTGTGTGAATGGCTCTATGTCCGCCAGCTCCAAGGACGCCTTGTTCACCAGGCTGAGAAAAGAGGCAGGGAAGTTGGGGAGGTGCGGAGGAGGAGAGAGAGAGAAAGGGGAGAGGGAGGGAAAAGGGAGGGGGGTAGAGAACGGGAGGGAACAAGGGAGAAGAGAGCAAGAAAGGGGAAGTGCGGGGTGATGCGAACGTAGAAAATGCATGCAGTTACAGAGACGCCTTGCCCACCACGCAACAAAAGCCACCACTCCCCCATCCCCCCCTTTCCCTTCCTTCGTACCTCTGAAAAATCGAAGCAAGCCAGCCGGTCTTCTTCCTCTCACTGTCGTCGTCCCCGCGACCCACGTGCCTGCGCGACCCCCTCCCCGCCCTTCCCCTCCCTCTTCCCCTTTATTCCCCCTTCCCCACTTCCCCCTTCATTCATACCTCTGGAAAACAGAAGCGAGCCAGCCGGTCTTCTTCCCCTCGCTGTCATCATCCCCGCGACCCACGTGCCTGCGCGACCCCTTCCGCTCCCTCCCCTCTTCCTCCTCCGACTCCTCATCCTCGTCCTCCCCTCCCCACTCCGCGTCCTCCTCCTCTTCCAGCTCAGCCTCTCGATCCATCATGCTCTTCCCCACCTTTGCCACGTCGACAACCTCCACGTCAGTGTCATGATCCGAAGCTTCCGAGAAGTCCTGCCGCTCCAAAGCCGGCCCGTCGTTATCCCACTTCCTCATCTGCTTCTTCGGTTTCTTCGACTCGCTTTCCGACGCGCTTCCGTCGGCTTTTCCGTCAGATTTCCCGCCGCCTTTTGCGGGATTCAGCGGGAAATCGAAAAGTCCGTTACCGGTTTTTTTCGCAGAAGCTTGCTTGCTGCGGTTCGCACGGTTACGCAGCTTCGAGACGTCAAACGCGCCGGCAGACGATACGGCAGAGCTGCTGGTGGGACGGCTAGCCGGCTGCTCTGCCTCGCTGTTCGCCGCTCCGTCCTCGTCGCCGGTTTCATCACTCCCGCTGTCCCCGTCATCCTTCGCCGCGCCTCCCTTCCTCTGATTAGCTCCTGCTCCCTTCCCTTTCCCCGATCCCGTGGCCTTGTGCATGCCTTTCCCCTTTTTCGTTTCGCCGAAATTGGTAACCTGCTTCGGCCGCTTCAACTCGTTCGCATGCTGTTCAGATTCGCGAAGAAGCTGTTTAAAAACGTCGTCAAAATCCGGATAAGCCGTTTTCTTCGGATCGTAGTGTCCATCCGCAAACTCATCCCTAACAGCCATTAACAGATCATCCACATAAAGCAGCTGCAGCATACGCTGGTACACCGCGACAAACACCAACCCTAACTCGTTATGAAACGACCACTTTAAGGTATAAGCCGACTGGTCCTTGGCGTTGTACTGGAACGTCTTCTCGCCGGACCGCTCCTGCAGCAGGCAGTTTTGAATCAGCGCATCGATCGGCGAGCCTTTCATGGCCGTCATCTGGAACGTCCAGAGGACCAGCCCGCCGCGCGTAAATATCGAGAAATGGTCCAACATCGTGACGGCTTCAGTTGCCCGCGATGCTAACTAGTCAGGTTGGTACGATTCACAGAATAAGTTGCAAACCCTCCTGAAGCTACTCCTAATATGAGAAATGTTATCTGGATAGTGGGTTCTTAGTTCGAGCAACATCAAAAGGACGGGTGGCAAGTCTGAATCTCATTTGTGGTGGAATACGATGCGTTGCTTTTAGAGGGTCATATCAAGACACATTCACGCGGTTAAGGGTGACCACCCTTCTGGGGAAGCTCACAGCTTCCTTCGAACCGAACGGAGTGGAACGCGTTGTTTGGTGGGGCTGACGTGAATCGAACGGCTGTGTGCCTCCGAACGAGATCGGAGGCTTGGACGACAAATTCGCGTGTGTGGGTCTCGAGATTGTCGCAAGGTTTTGTTTCGTGTACTTCTCTCGCTCACTCTATGTGCAACATAGTTTGCTACTGTGTGCATTTTAGGCAATTACAGAGAAACATGTGCATCACATTACAGTGGACCCTTACCATACAAGACCATTCTTTGATTACCACAAAAAAAAAAGGGCCTATTCACCGAGAAAAATATATACACGCCAATGTTGAATACAATAACAAGCTAAAACGACCCCACTGTACACTCCCATGATGCATTGCGTGTCAAGCACTGAATAAAATGCATAGAGGAGGCAAGCAGACTCTCACCATCCACGTATAGCAAATATTAATTATGCATCTTCTTCACTGCTCTCGGCTGGGAGCAGGGGCAGGTCTACTGTCCGCCCATACACAAAGGTTCTAAGCAGCGGCGGCACCTCAACTTGCGCAAGCCAAGTGCTCAAAACTGCTCCTTCTACCGTCTCATTCTCTGGTGAATGACAAAACGCGAGTAAACATGTGGAGGAAAGAAGGACGAATGATGGTGGGATAGATGCATAGAAAACAGAAGTCAACATACAACGGAGGACTAACAGAACAAGAAATCTGACCCGAATCCACACTCATTCAGCACCAAGACATCTCACATCCCACCTTGCAATTTTGAGCCACCTCGAGTCTCACCTTGCAGCGTCCTTCCCAGGTCTTCAAGAAGCCCTCTGTTGCACACCAGCACGGCCCGCGCCACCTCTAGAGCCGCCTGCAGCAGCTGCTGCACCTCATCCTGCACCTGATCCGACAGCCTCCCCTGGTCCTTCCCTCCCCAGGCAAACCCTCCCCCTCCATCCAACCCCCCTCCGGCCAGGGTACCCACTGACATTGGCCCTATGGTCCCACTCAGCCCATATTCCGCTACAGCCTTGTATGCCATGTCTGTAGCGCGCCGAATATCGTCTACTGCTCCTGTAGAGATTCTCCCACCGTAACAGACGTCTTCTGCCGCCCGGCCCCCAAGAAGGACGGCGAGCTGGCCGCGGAGCTCATCGACGAACACTAAAAGACGCTCCTCGCCGTCCGCTGGGGGCGGCATGTAGGCGAATCCTAACGCGCCGCCCGACCGAGGTACGATGGAGATCTTTTGGACTACCCGCTGGTCAGGTAGAACTTTTGCAATGGCTGCCCCCAGCAGCGCATGGCCTGCTTCGTGCCGTGCTACCACGGCTTTTTCTGCCCGACCCAAAGCTGACCGTTTCTTCTCAATTCCCTGTGAAGAAAGAAGAAAAAAACACGAATGTACATATATTACAGAAATCCGCATATGATAACACAAATTTGCATATATTACAGATGTGTCAAATCCACATTATGATAACGCAATATGTGAACTTATTACAGCAAGAGTCACACTCACAGCAAGAGCCTGTTCAACAGCGCTGTCAAAGTCCTGCCTTGTGACCTCCTCATGGTCCCTCCTTGTTTTTTTCACATGTTCAACACTCCCTATAAGCACAGTTTACAACCAGCCACACTCACAGCAAGAGCCCGTTCAACAGCGCTGTCGAAGTCCTGCCTCGCCACCTCCTCATGGTCCCTCCTTGCTGCCAGCAACGCCGCCTCATTCACCAGATTGGCCAGATCAGCTCTGCAATGAAGGGAAGGCAAGAATGCAGCGTGAGATCACAGCATGGCAGTGTGGGAGTAAGTTCAGCGGGCCTCCTCATGTTCCCTCCTCACTGTCAGCAATCTGATTATTTTTTCTTAGGGTGGGTGGAGGGGGGTTTTCATAGAAGCCCGGAGGTAGACAGCGTTCGCACCCATATGCCACCCATCAACCCATCCCAACCGCTTCCATCCATCGCAACCAATCTCCACCCATCTCAACACATGAGCTCACCCCGTGAATCCGCTGGTGGCGACGGCAATTTCCTGAATGTCCACATCGGTGCCCAGAAGCAGCTCTTTCTGATCCACGCGCAGCCAAACCATGTGAGCCCATCTCAGCCAATCTCAGCCCATATGAACCCCTCTCACATCCACGTACCCAGTGAATCCGCTGGTGGCGACACCAATTTCCTGAATGTCCACATCGGTGCTCAGAGGTCGTTCCTTTTGCTCCACACGTCAACCCATCTCAGCCCATATAAACCCATCTGAACCCATGCACTCACCCTGTGAACCCGCTGGTGGCAACGGCAATCTCTTGAATGTTCACATCGCTGCTCAGAGGCAGCTCCTTCTGCTCCACATGCACCGTCAGAATCGCCTCCCTCCCCTTGCGATCCGGAGGCTCCACCTGAGAGTGTGTGTGTGTGGTAGTGGGGAGGTTATGCACGTGGAAGAAGGGATGGGGAGAGATGGGCCACATGTGGGTGTGGCAGCTCCTTGTGCTCCACATGCACTGACAATAAGGCGTCGGACCCCACCGGGCCCCATCGTAACACACACATAGAATAGCACACCCCTGCGCTCTGCTGCTTGATTTCTACCGCACTGAACCAATCAGCACACACACGTCACCACGCCCCATCATTCCTCACCGCTACGATCCGGTCAAATCGCCCTGGGCGGCGCAGGGCGGCGCCTGACGGGTCGATAACGTCAATAATCAGCAGCTATATGCTAATGCCACCACAGATTCCCAAAGCTCCGAAAAAAAAGAAAAACACAGTGCACCACCCCTTCCCGTTCCTCACCGCTACGATCCGGTCGAATCGCCCCGGGCGGCGCAGGGCGGGGTCGATGACGTCAGCTCTGTTGGTGGCTGCGAGTACAATGACTGCTGTGCTGCTGTCAAACCCGTCCATCTCCTGCAGTGTGCAAAATGGGAGGATGGAAGCGCATACACAAAGCAAGGTTGTAAGGGCAGCGCAGGGCGGGGTCAATGACATCCGCCCTGTTGGTGGCTGCGAGCACGATCATTGCCGTGCTGCTGTCGAATCCATCCATCTCCTGTCGAGAATAGAAGGGTGCAGGATGCGGAAAGGAAAGCGTGTCACGAGGCAAGGAGGGCAAAGCAAGGGTGCAGCAGCAGGGCGGGGTCGATGACATCCGCCCTGTTGGTGGCTGCCAGGACGATCACTGCCGTGCTGCTGTCGAACCCGTCCATCTCCTGTGGTGCAGGGTGCACAGGATGCAGAAAGGCACGGATGCCATGAGCAGCTGGTTCAGGGTCTATTCCCTCTCGTCATTGCCCACACTGTGCACATACATGCACGCACACACATACAACGCACATACATGCAGACATATACACATACATGCAGACATATACACATACATGCAGACATTTACACATACATGCAGACATATACACATACATGCAGACATATACACATACATGCAGACATATACACATACATGCAGACCCCCACTCACCCATGCAACCACCCACTCACAGTGAGCAGCTGGTTCAGGGTCTGCTCTCTCTCGTCGTTCCCCACACTGCGCATGCGCCCATCCCGCACCTTGGCCACTGCATCAATCTGCCGAAGAGACAGATGACAGAAGGCAAGGACAGGGGGGGAGGATGTTGAATCAGCTCAAGGTGTTCACCTCCTTGAACAGTAGCAAGCAACCCCCATGGGCGAATCAGCGCACCTCTAATGAACACAATGGACGGCCAGTCCTCGTTGAACAGTAGCAAACCCCATGGGCGAACCAGCGCAAACAAAACGACTCTTGAACAAAACGACTCTTAAACAAAACGACTCTTAAACAAAACGACTCTTAAACAAAACGACTTTTGAACAAAATGGACGGCCAGTCCTTCTTGGCCAGCGCAGACCAAACGACTCTTGAATCAACTCATATATACTCTTGACTCACCCCATCCCTAGCTGTTACAAGCGCGCCTCATGAATGAACACGATAAAGTGAACATTCCATCTTTGCCTGGGCGAACAGCTGTCCAGTAAAGTCACAAGCCATGTCGTCTTGAGGATTAACCCAAAAAGCTTAATCATCCAGCTAAAAGCTCACCTCATCAATAAAGACAATGGAGGGCGAGTCCTTCTTTGCCTGAGCGAACAGGTCTCTCACTCGCGACGCCCCCAGCCCCACATACAGCTCCACAAACTCGCTACCGCTGCAGCTTATAAAGGGTACGTCCGCCTCCCCTGCCACTGCCTTGGCCAGCATCGTCTTTCCCGTACCTGGCGGCCCAACCTGAGAGGCAGGCTCGGCAAACAAGGAAGGAAGGCCAGAGGAGCTTCAGCCGAGGAAACTACGGCGTTTGCTAGTTTATTTAATACTAGGTTGGGCTCCTAAGCAGCCGAGGAGGACCCACTCGAAAGCATGACCTTTGAAACCACGAAACCGAAAGTAGAAAAGCATGTAAGCGAGCAGCATTGTGTGAGGAAACAATCACCCAACAGGCGATTTTTGAGTCGACTCAAAAATCGCCTCTTCACACACGGATTATATGTGGAGAGAATGTTTGTTGCGTGGAAAATTGGTTGTAACCTGCAGCGGTTACTGGTGATCTCGCGGGAAACAATCACCCAACAGGCACCACACGCACTCACCAGCAGCACTCCTCTGGGCGGTCGAGCTCCCAGTCGAGTGAAACGTTCAGGCGTGCGGAGGTACTCCTGGGGTGGTGAGACAGGGAGGAGAGAGGCAAGAACGAAAGCAAATAAAAAGAATAGGTACCACTTGAGTGACGAGGCGAGGAGGAGAGAAGAAAGATGAACAAGAGATTAAGTTGGTCAGTAAAGCTTGGCCACGTGCTTAGCGGGGGGAAACAAGTGGGGTGGGGGAAAAGGAGATGAGGCGGAAGAGGAGGGAAATGGAAGAGGAAAAAGGGAAGCAGAAACGGTAGAGTGCGAAGAGGTAACGGCCTTGGCATGCAGCAGGGCCTCTGCACTGCACTTTCTGCTTAGAGCCCCCCCCTTCCTTTACTCCCCCCAGCCCTCTATTGCGCATACCTACACCTCCCCCCCCCCCCCTCCTCCCCCCCTTCCCCCTCACCCACACTCGCCCCACTTACCACAATCTCCTCCAATTCCTCTTTCGCCTCATCCACCCCTGCCACGTCAGCAAACAGCACTGGCGGCGCCTTGCCCTTCTGACTGCGCGTCTTACCCCCAAACTTCGGACATGCCACGTGGATGAAAGGATGGACAAAGTTTGGATAACATGACACATGGGCGAATAAAAGGACAGAATGTAAATGGACGGTGGATGGGCGGATGGGAGGATGGGAGGATGAGTGAAAGCAAACGAGCCAGCAGCAGAGTGGGGTGCATCAAATTCCCCCTTGCAATTTTGAAACGCCTCAAATAGAAACCGCAGGACATGAGACGAATATGGAGGCCCTCAAAAACTGATAACAACCACGCAGCAGAGTGGAACGGAATGCATCAAATGCCCCCTTGCAGATTCAATCCCCTGAAAATTGCACCCCCTCGCACCCACCTCGCATGTCAACCCCTCACTAACCTGAGGGAGCTTCATCTGCAGGCGTGAGAGCACAACGGCTGCTATCCCCGCATATAACAGAGTGGACTGGCAACAAGAAACACGCAGGGGCGCAGTTGCGAGGGCGTTTTGGGGGGAAGGCACGCAGGGGAAGGAGTGGGGCAATTGTATTTCTAGATGGCGTTCCCGAGTTTGAAAGACGCCTTATCTGGAGCACCCGTCCCCCCTCTCCCCTTCTCCCCTCACTCCCATATCCTCACTAGATTCACCCCGTCTCCCCTTCTCCCCATTACTACTCACCGAGATCGTATTCACGAGTTTAAATGATGCCTTATCCGGAGCACCAAACTCCACGTGGCGTGACATCAGCTCCGCGTACGGGACCGCCACGTCAGCAGGCTTCACCGTGGTCAGCTGCACCTGGACAGGTGGCATCTTCCCCACCTTCTTCCCGGAAACTTCCCCAGCTTCCTTCCACTTGCTCTCTGCCATTCTTTCCACTTGGCGAATCATGGGTTGTAACTCCGTCGCCTTGTGCCCTTTTGCGAACTCGGGGCGTCGCAGGACGAACGACACCTTGTCGCCGTCTACAGTAATCGACACGATATTATCCTTCTTCACGTGGTAAAGGAACTCGGAAAACGGGACCGTGATGGAAAAGGAAATTCGAGTCGTCTCCTGCTGCTCTTGCTGCTGCTTCTGCAGCTGCTGCCGCTGCTGCTTCTCCTTCGCATCTAAACCCGCACCGCCAACATCAGCACCGGCAGATGCCGCCTCCTCAGACACCACGGTATTCGCCGGTAACCCCCACTTTTCCAGGGTTACAACGACGGTCTTCGGCAGTAACCCGAAGCGGCGCGCAGCTCGTTTCACGACGAGCGGGTGCGAGCTAAGGATCCGTGCAGAGAGCATCAGAACCACCAGATTCGTCACCATGAAAGTGAGAAGCTTCAGATCTGGGAGGATACCCAAGATTAGCTTCCGCCACCATGGGGAACTGTCGTCGCTGCCTCGCCGCGACGGCCGCTGCGACCCGCGCCTGCCGTCCTTCCCCGCACCGTCTGATTTCGGCGATGTTCCTTGCGCTTTTCTCCCGTCGGATGTCGCCTTGTCGCTTTTCGACCCGGCTGGACTTAGATTCCCTTTCTGGATCTGTGAGAGCTGCTGCTGCTGATGCTGCTGCGAGTTAGTCTGTTTCGGGTCCTGTTGCTGCGGACGTAAGCCGCTGGCTTCAGGATTCGAAGCTCCCGAAGGAGCTTCGCCGTCCGACGCGCTGGCGTTTCCTACGGAACTGGATTGCACCAGGATGACTCGAGAAGCGGGAATATTTGCGGAAGATGCGGAGAACGAACCGCACGACGAGGGAACAGGCTCGGGGGAATCATCTGGCGTGGCGGCGTCGCCGCTTCTATCGGCAGTGCAGAGGATTCTAAGGACCCCGCGCGTCGAGGCGCATCGGGGAAACGGACGCGTCGCTCTCGCGCAGGCTAACCGTTTGTGAAGATCGGAAAAAAGATCGAAGGCTTGTCTGCTATGCACTCTTGGCGGACCGCAAATCCCGGTGCTAAGCAAGCTCGTCATAGCACAGGAAGCGAGAGTATTACGTATGTACGAAGGGTATTAGCAGGCAGCGTCCCTAGATTCTAGAAGTGCATAGCAGAAGGCCAACGGCTAGCGCAGGAGCAGCATGAATCACCTACGCTTACAAAGCGTGGTGTAAGGCGGAATTTAGGGTTGCCTAACGGAGATGTGATGTAATGATTGGATCGAGGACGGATAAACGTTCCGAAGAACTAGTATCTAGGGATGATTGAGTTTGCGCTCAACAGAATGGTGCGGTGCGTGGTGTGGTATAGTGTGCTATCATATGGTTTCGCTGTTATTAATTCGGTATTGTGTGATTCAGTACGGTGTCTTCTCTGGCTCTCTTTGTGATGTGATGTGATGTGATGTGGTTGGGGTGTCGCTGTAGCGAAGGGTGAATGTGAACTAGGTTTGGGGGAAGGAATGAAACGGGGAAGCAGGGCAGAAGCCACACAAGTCCACACAAATGAGCCACACAAATGAGCCTGGGAATTGGGTTTGCTCGGATGACCCCTAGAGAACTGTCTAGGAAAATCACCACGAGCAGAAAACTACCTTCTGGGTTTGGGTTTCGTTTGCACAATTTGGATTGGACAGAAAACTACCACGCGCGGGTTTTCGAGTTGACCCTGAAAAAAACAAGTATTTTACTGTACGCATCCTCAATGTATCGTGGCAACCAGCCACACGACAAGGGCCTTCACGCCACGTCACAAGTACACGCTTTAAGCACATCCCCCCCACATCAGGGGGCTGCCCTGCCCGCATAAACCTCGTGTGAAAGACTTCTTGGCAAAACGAACCAAGCAGTTGCTCCCCCAGTCACTGCCTCGAAATTAGACATCTGGTACATGTAAAGGCCTAAATAGTGAATAAAACATCTTCTGCAACGCACTAGCAAATTGGCTGTCACTAGAAATCTTGGTGTCGGCTTAGCGTCTTCTAGATGAGCCCCGCGACTTTGAACGAGTAGTGGTCTGCAAGGGAAGAGACGAACAAAACAGGAGAACATGTTTAAGAACACATCTGCAATCACTTACTGTAGCACCACGACAACACGTGCAGAAAAGAGTTCACTGTGTATGAGCTCACCGGTTGACTTGTGTTGCCAAAACCAAACGGCATTGGGGCAGCCGGCTGGAGTGTTGGGGCGGCAGGAGCACCTGTGGACAAAAGAAAAGAGACAAACAGCATTGACATAAAAATTCTGAAGTCTTTATATGCCATGCACAAAGAGGCACAAAACTCAATGACCCCTGAAAAACAGCAACCGCCGCCAATTACCAGTTGTTACATACCAAACAGGCCGCCAGACCCAGGTGCAGCACCCCCGGCAGGAGCACCAAACAGTGACGTGGCAGGAGCCGGCGCCACTGCTCCAAAAGGCGATGGCGAGGCGGCCCCAGCAGCACCAAAGGGCGAAGCAGCAGGAGCGCCGAAAGGCGACGCTGCTGCTGGTGTCGCTCCGAAAAGCCCCCCAGTTGTGGGACCAGCCGGGGACCCAAACAGCGACGGGGTGCTTGCTGCTCCTCCTGCTGCTCCTGGGGTTGCTCCAAAGGGAGATGCGCCGGCGCCGAAAGCAGAGGTGTTCCCAAAGAGAGAGGAGCCGGGGGACGAGCCTGCTGCTGCGGGGTTTGGAGTGCCGAAGAGAGACGTGGTGCCCGTGGCAGGTGTGGCAGGGTTGCCGAAAGAAAGGCCAGGAGAGGATGCAGCAGCGGCGGCACCAGGAGTGGCACTGCCGAAGAGCGACGGAGTGGGGGTTCCAAAGAGGGAGGTGCCTGGGGAGCTGCCTGCTGCGGCAGAGGCGGGGGGAGTGCCGAAGAGGGAGAGGCCGGGAGTGGTGGCGGTGGCTGGGGTGGTGGAGCCGAAGAGGGATGGTGTGGTGGTGGTGGCGGAAGGGAAGAGTCCGGTGGGGTTTGAGAGGAAAGGGGAGGAGGTGCCGGGAGTGGTGGTTCCGGGGAGGAGGGAGAGCGGAGAGGAGAGGATTCCACTGCCTGTACCTCCTGCACCAGCACCAGCAGCACCAGCAGCACCGGCAGCACCAGCGGCGCTGCCAGCAGCAGAGCCAAGCAGAGACGGTTTCTTGCTGGCAGCAGCAGCAGCTTCGATCCGGTCTGCCTCTGCAAACGGGTTGCTCCGGTCGCCCCTCCTTCGTCTCTCCGCCAGAAACGCATTCCTTGCTGCATCCACCCTCTCATGCACCCTCTCCACCTGAGCAGCCACGTGTATGAAAAAATCATGCAGATTCTTTATAATCACGGGCAGAGCCTCCACCGCTGCTGCCGCCGAAGCTGCTGACGCGGCTCGGGAGTACCCGACGCCGAACCTGGATTCTGCCAGGGCTGGTTCAATGGCTGTCTGGAGCTCGGTGAGCTTGTGGCGGTATTCTGTCATCTTGACTTCAAAGCGAGCGACTGTGTCGATGAGGAAAGGCGACGGCAGGCAGGGCACCCCCCGGTAGATGTCTGCTTGCCCTGGGGGTCATGGGAGGGGGGAGGGGGGAGATGGGATGGGGGATTGGGGGAGGGATTTTCTAGGCGTGTAAACAATGTACTGCTTGAGGATATCAGGCTCCTGGCCTCTCCGGCTCCTGGCCTGGAGTCTGCCAGCCAGGGCTGGTTGGGTGGCCGCCTGGATTTCAGCTCAGTGAGCTTGTGACGTTACACTGCTATCTTGACTTCAAAACGTGCAACTGTGGCAATGAGGAAGGGCGATGGCAGGCAGGCAGGCCACGCGGCACGCCCTGGTAGATGTCCGCTTGGTCTGGGCCCATGGCAGAGGTGTTGAGGGGGAATCGACATATTTGAATACCGGAGTTGAATCATAATGCAGCATTAGTCTGAAGCCTGAACTTACCTGGTGCCAGGGGGTCGGCTCCGGGGAGGTGGGGGAAGCGCGAGCGGAGGAGGGAGAAGGAGCGCACTGCCAGGTCGCTGTGGTGCAGCAGGTGCTGCGCCGTGTGCAGCATGTGGTGGAGGGACGCCCGCTCTGTGTCCACCCTTGATGCCACGTGTGAGAGGCTCTGGAGGGCGATATATGGGGAAAGAGAGGGAGAATATGCACAGCGAGGTCAGCACCAGAGGGTCGCTCTGGTGCAGCAGGTGCTGCGCTGTGTGCAGCATGTGGTGCAGGGACGCCCGCTCTGTGTCCACCCGTGATGCCACGTGTGAGACGCTCTGGAGAGTGGAAAGGGGGGGATTGGGAGGGAGGAAGAGGGGGGGGGAAGTGAGGGTGGCAAGGGAGCGAGAAGCAGAGGAGAAACGTATTGCAGTATTCCAAACCCAGTCAGCCATCCAGATCGGGCATATGCACCAGCCGTCCACGTCAGCTATGCAGACCATGCGATTTGCCGCCTGCCACTCAACCAGGTTGTGAGTCAAATGTCAAGCAAACAAATCAACCGCACATAAACGCTCCCTATCTGGCTGACTCTAGCTGTCTGCTACTCAACCGCATTGTCCGCCAACTGTGAGCCATCTCTCAGCCACACAAGTCAACCGCACAAAACAGCTGCCCACCTGGCTAACTCTAGCTGCCTGCCGTTCAAACGGGTTGTCCGCCAATTGCGAGCCATCATGCAGTCGACTCGATTGCCCCAGCCTCTGGCTCTCCGCTCGCAGCTCCAATATCTTGCTCCTGACGACCGGGGAAACGAGGAAATGGGTAAAAAATACTAGAGAATTTTGTAATGTTACTCCAGAACCTTGCACCTGGAATTCGGCTCGCAGCTCCAATGGGTTGCTCCTGATGACAGGAAAACGAGAAATTGGATTTACAAAACTAGTGAAAACTGTAACCTCATTCCAACATCTTGTTACTTGCTCATTCGGCGCGCCAAAGCCCCACGTCTTGCTCTTAGAGCAGGGGAAGGGGAAATTAGGTCATAAAAAAGGAGAACTGAGGGGGGGGGGGAAACCGAACTTTTTACTCGAGTCCCTGATTCAGTGTGCGGGAATCACACGCCTTGCTCCCAAGGTACAGCAATGGCGACTTCTCTATAACGGATGGCAGGAGGTCAGTTAAACGGAAAACACTCACTCTATGTGCGTCAGGATCTTCTGGCTGTCCGGGTGTAGCTCGCTGAACTTGGTGCTTATGGTCTCCATATAGTCAGGCTCGCTACAGTCATTCTAGATTCACTCACTCTATGTGCGTCAGGATCTTCTGGCTGTCCGGGTGTAGCTCGCTGAACTTGGTATCGAATCCCGCCGGTTGCGGACCCCCTCGACTGGGGTCGTTATTCGTCAGCAGATGCGCTTGGCCCTGCTGAATTGCTAAAGTTAACTGTTGCTGCTGCTGCTGTTGCTGTTGTTGTTGTTGCTGCTGTTGCTGTTGCTGTTGCTGCTGCTGTTGTAGGGTTGACGGAGTGCTTGTCGCGGGTGTGCTTAAAGCGGAAGTTTGGGTTCCCGTTGTGGCCGGCGTGGAAGGCTTGAACCCTCCAAACAGCGACATTTCGCCTAAATTAATTTGTAGTTAATCCGCAAGTCACGAAAAAAAAAGGCACTATCAGCGAATGCCGCGGCTTAGTGATCTTGTCGCCAATAAACGTTCCGCTCTAGGTTGTTCTCGCAAACAGGTGAGCAGGAGGACCTATAAGATAGGTGTAATGTCTAGGAGCATCCATGGCTGGAGTGACGAGTCAGGAGTCTCGTGGCATAAGCCTTAACTCTTGATTTGGGATTCTGACGTCTGGCTTGTGTTAGTCAGGGAGCCAGAAAGTAACTGATATTGCCACGTTCGTACGTTCCGCGGATCGCGTTGCTAACGGTAATAACTACGCTATCCAGCATGAACAGATCAGAGATGATCCCTAGATCAGGAATGGTGATCTTATCTGATCGGGGAGAGATGGTCTAGACTCAGCACGTTGACGGGTAACATATCGGCGAAAGCATCCAGCGAATTCATTTTGGTTCGTTAGGAGGCGAAAGCATCAGGATAGTCGTGTTCTTCTGACTTGTTTTCGCATGTGAACTTCTCTGGAATTTCTTGTTCGTCAAAGTGTTCGTCAGCATCTGTATCCAGCTTCGTTGAACCTCTCTCCACCCTCGCAAGCCCATCCCAATTTCTGTTCCTTTCTCACACCAAATCTCGGTTCAGAGCGATGCTGTGCAATGGAAAACGTTTTCACTACTTATCTCAAACCACTGATCAATACTTCTCAAACATAAAAACGACGCCTCTTGTAATACATTGCTGAACTTTGTTTGGCCTGATCAGCAGAAGCATTCCCACCACCACTTCCGCTCATTGCAACTTGTAGCTTCCCGTGTTACTAGAGTGTCGCGATAGAGAAAAAATATTACGCTTCCGCCATGTCCCGGCTATTCAAGGTAATTCCACAGAAATTGGGCTTTTCAGGGTACTTATCCTAAGAGGAAGTTGACTGACTGAATGGCGTACAGCAGTCTTTTCATGACGTTATCGCCTCTGGATGTCGACGTCCGGCTGAGCAGAAGGACCCACCGAACTCTTAAAATCAAATCACAAGCTCACGGAATGCTTCTCTGAATGCCATAACTTGTTCAAACGCCATAACCGAATGGCCGCCGCAATTTGCGCTGCTTCCGAACCCGCCGTTTCCTCCTCGATCGCACCCTTTCAACCACCCCTCGTCCCCCCGCGCAAACCTTCCTTATCCGCGATCCCACCCTTTTGTCGAGTCCGGGAGAGGGGCGGCGATTCGTCCATCCCTCCTCTCCTCCCTGCCATCATCCTTACCTCCGTTCAATTGCAAATCTCTCTCATCGTATCCCTGCGCGCCGATGCTCTAAACAGAAAGAGCAGATCTCGGCGTATCGCGACCGTCGATTCCGCGGCACGCAGGAGGAGTTCGAGCAGGCGCTGAAGGCATCTACCACGGTTTACGTGGGTAACTTGTCGTTTTACACCACGGAGGAGCAGATCTACGAGGTGTTTTCCAAGGCGGGGGAAATCCGACGCATTGTAATGGGACTCGATAAGAATACAATGACGCCCTGCGGCTTCTGCTTTGTTGCGTGAGTAACTCTCTCTCTCCCTGTTGGCGACTTTTGACTCGACTCAGAAGTCACCTCATGCATATCTCTCACTGTAGGTGACGTCATACAATGCGAGTCGCATTGTCTCTGATCCTTCGTCTTTCCTCCTCCCCCCCACCTCACCCCCCTCGCTCCCCCACTTCCCCTCTCTTCCTCCCTCTCTCCCCCGTCCCTCCATCCATCCTAGCCTTTCATTTCCTCCCCCTTTCCATGCCAACCCCCCCAACCCCCAACCCCATGCCTTCCCACACCTCCATATTACCCCTCTTATCTCCTCCCCCTCTTCCTGACCCCCCTCCTCGCCGCCCGCTCCCCGCTTCTCCTCCTCTCTACAGTACCCGTCATGCAGTGCAAGTACTATGCGAGCAAGGCAGCACTCAATACCCCTTCTCCTCCTCTTTTGTCGTTTGTGGTGCAGGTACTATGTGAGGGAGGACGCAGAGGACGCGGTGAAATACGTCAGCAGCACAATCCTGGACGATCGGCCAATCAGAGTGGACTTTGACTGGGGCTACGAGGATGGGCGGCAGTGGGGGCGGGGGAGGAGCGGCGGGCAAGTCAGGGACGAATACAGAACCGACTATGACCCAGATATGTGCCTCTTTCGCCCCGTTGCTAGCTTTATGTGCGTGTTTGTTAGGGCATGCCTGTAAAGGTGGGGGGGCGGGGGAGGAGTGGAGGGCAAGTCAGGGACGAATACCAGACTGACTATGACCCAGATATGTGCCTCTTTTGCCCTGTTACTAGCTTTATGTGCTCTTGGTGGCAAGTTAGAACAGAAAGAGGTTGCAGCCATTTGGCAGTACGGCACTCCGCTCTTCATGCCGGCGCGGGGCGGTGGGCAGTCTGTCTGCCTGTGCTGTGCTGCCCATGATTGCTCCCCTGCTGCCTTCCCTCTTCCCCTCCCCACCCCTCACTTCCCTCTTCCCCTCCCCACCCCTCACTTCCCTCTTCCCCTCCCCACCCCTCCCTTCCCTCTTCCCCTCCCCACCCCTCCCTTCCCTCTTCCCCTCCCCACCCCTCCCTTCCCTCTTCTCCTTCCCACCCCTCCCTTCCCTCCTCTTCCCTTCCCTCCCTTCCTCTCCTCCTTCCTCCTTCCTCCTTCGTCCTTTCCCTTTGTGCTCTCCACCCTCCTTTCTCTCCCCTACTGCACGGCGAGGGGGGTACAGCGAGCTAGTGCCCCCTGCCATCCAGCAGTACGAAGCTTGATTGTCCCCCTGCCCTCCCCCCTCCCCCTTCGTGCTCTCCTTCCCCCTCCCCTTCCTTCCTGCACGGCGAGGAGGCTACGGCAAGCTAGTACAGAAGGAGATAGCGGCCATTCAGCAGTATGGAGCGCCACTCTTCATGCCGGGAGAGGGGGGCAGTCCGGGAGGCATGCCCCCCTCCTTTGGCCACTCGCCCTCGGTGCCCCGCCAACCCATGAGCCACCGCATGCAGCAGCGACTGGGCAATCAACAGGGACCCAGTGAGTAACCAGGGGCACTTGCAAGCCACCATACATAAGCATAGGCATGCCTATGGGAGGCGATCTCCCATCCTCCTTTGGCCACTCGCCCTCGGTGCCCCGACAGCCCATGAGCCACCGCATGCAGCAGCGACTGGGCAATCAACAGGGACCCAGTGAGTGGCGTTGAGATGTCTTGCATGTTTTGCTCATTGCACTCACCGCCCCACACCACCACGCATGCCCCTGGGGAGAGGTTCCTCCTCCTTTGGTCACTCGCCCTCTGTGCCCCAACAGCCCATGAGCCACCGCATGCAGCAGCGACTGGGGGGAGGGGGGGGGCGTTATCACCCGTTATCCCATCCTTTCCATCCTACTCCATCTCATTCCATCGCACTCCACCTCATTCCATCGCACTCCACCTCATTCCCACCCATTCTGTTGTCTGTCTGTCCTCTCAGGGCGGGCGCAGCGCTACTCCAGGGATGACAGGCAGCGAGGCGGCTACAGAGGTAAGCAGCTTGGCTCAACAGTATGTCGTTGTGACCACAATGTTTTATGATTTATTATGTGGCAAATGTGACGTGAGAGAGGCGTGTTATAAGACAACCAGCGCCACTCAAGGGTTGACAGGTACAGGGGCGGCTACAGAGACAAAAAGCTCAGCTCAGAAATGTGTTACTGTAAGTATGATACTTGATAATTGTGATGTAAAATTGATCTTGAGAACACCAAGAGACAGTAAGAGGGGCGGTTACACACCCCCCTCTTCTTTCTCCCTTTTTTGGGTGGGAGAGGAGGCTGTGGGATCCGCAAGAGGGTAAAGACGATGACGAGTCGATGCAAGAGGCAGGGAGACAAAAGAGACTTACACCTTACCAATCCCACGGCTCTTGCCCCTCCCCCTCCCCGCCGCACCTTCCTCGCATTTTTTAGATGGGGGTGGGGGAGGAGGTGCAAGAGGGAGAGACGACAACGAGCCTATGCAAGAGGCAGGGAGACAAGGGAGAGTCTAGACCGAACCAAGGGAGAGGCGGTGGGATGCGCAAGAGAGGCAGGGAGGCAAGAGAGAATGCACAATTATCCAATCCCACCCCTTACTCCCCTGTCCTCCCCCACTTCCTCACCTCCCCTTCAACACTCCCCCTCTCCCCCGCCCCCCTTTTTCGCTTCTAATCACAGATGGGGGTGGGGGAGGAGGCGGTGGGATGCGCAAGAGAGGGAGAGACGACGGCGAGCAGATGGAAGAAGCGGGGAGGGAGGGACGGGGGGGCAGGGAAGAGGGAGGGGAGAGGCGAGGGGGAGGGAGGGACGGAGGGGGGCGAGTGCGGTATGAGGAGAGAAGAGGGGAGGCAGGGGAGGGGAGAGGTGGTAGGGAGGGAGGGGCAGGAGGGGCAGGAGGGGGAGGAGGGGAAGGAGGAGGAAAAGGAGGTGGAGAGGGGGGGGCTGAAGGGGCTGCTGATGACCAAAAGGTGCCTACTACCTTTCTTTTTTTTCTTTCCTTCACCACCATTTGTGCTTTCTTTTTGTATTGGGACAATTTCCAAGGCATCTCAGAAATCGTTTGACGGCCCAAAGGTGTCTTTCCTTTTCCTTTTTGTGTCTTTCCTTATCCATTTTAACTGCCTTATGCACCTGCTGCCATGCCGCCCTATTCCTTCTTAACCACTAGTGACGCCTCCTGCTGCTGCTCTCTGCTTGTCCACAACAGTTCTCACTCAATATTGAAACAACCACCCAGATCTGAGAGAGCCCTCCAACCACAAACCTCTGAGATCTCCCAGTTTTAAGATTGAGTTTGTCAGATTTCTCATACTTCAATCTATGCATCTGGTTGTGTGGTGGTGGTGTGCAGAAAAACCCGAGGTTCAGGGAGAGGGGGGATGATTCGGACGATGAGGGGGACAAGGCATGAGCGTCACATGGGGTTTCTTTTAGCGGACAGGACGCCTGCGTTGGTCTGGTTTGTGACGAGCCTCACTAGTCGTTTTTCAAGGCTTGGAAGATGCGGCAGGCATGTACTATGTTGGCCAAAGGTGGAGACTTCGGTGTAGTTCTTATGTACCGTACCGTAAAAGACATGAAGGGGCTTGATAGGAGGGCAATTATGTTTTTTAGGACAAGCGTATGGAGACGATTTGACAACTGTGTAACAGATTCTAGAAGATTGGAGTAACTCAACAATTCTCTGCAAGGCTGGCTAGCTGGCTAGCTGGCTAGCCTGCTTGATCCCCACTCTTGGCCTACTGAGATCTCCTTGAGTTTTACCAGTACATGCAGTGTATGGGTACGTACATGTGAAGACCTGTGGCATCACTTGAAGAGCTCCTCCTTTATCGTAGCCAGAGCTACTGAGACACCATCCTAAGCAGCACAGCAACACAGCACAACACAGCACAACACAGCTGCACATCAGCACATCAGCACAGTGGCAGAGCGGCAGAGCGACACAGCAGCATACACACGCAGCATGGAGGGAGCCCCATCATCACTCCCCTATCCATGAGGTCTATGTGGTTCTTTACCCAAACCACACACAAAGTGTCACACTCGAGACACTTGAGACTCCCAAGCATCAAGAGCCACCCAAGACTCACCCAAGAGACATCCAAGAGGCATTTAAAAGACACACCTCTGTCTGTATCTCTCGTGAGAGCTCCTGGGCTCGCTCCCTCATGCCAGCACTCAGTGCAGCAGCAAAGCGACTCACGACAGTTGCTGTACCTGCAGGTGCGGTTGTTGCTGCAGGTAGACAAACAGACAGGCCAACGACACTAGAAGCATGAAATGCGAAACGTGGAACGTGGTATTCAGATTGCGAAGCACAACGGCAGATAGAACAAATCAAGGGTAAATGCAAGGGCGCAACACCCAGATAGAAATATCTGCACAGTACGGAGCGCCCAGTAGTGTTGGTCGAGGAGGACGGGGCAGAGGTGCCAATCTGCGCAACATCAAGAGCATTTGAGTCGTCTCAGAATGCCAATTCTCTCACCCTCCACAGACAGCCACTCACCTGGAGGCTGGTGCACCGACTCGAGAGGCATGAGGTCGGATGGGTGGAGAGGAGCAGGGGCGACACCGACGTAGCAGAGGCGAGCTGGTCCAGGATAAATGGGCAGAAGAGCTGGGGCGAGCATAATCAAGCACTTCAAGTCGACACTCACAGTACCGATTCCCTCAGCCCTAACTGACAGCCACTCACCTGGAGACTGGTGGGACGGGTCGAGAGGCATGAGGTCGGATGGGTGGAGAGGAGCAGGGGCGACACCAAGGTAGCAGAGGCGGTGCGCCCAGTAGTGCTGGTCGAGGATGAAGGGGCAGAGGAGCTGGGGCACGCCTGCTCGCAGCGCTGCTGCTGTGGTGCCGCTGATGGGGGTGCATACACAGATCGGGGCAGACAGATGGGTTGAGATGGGTGCAGGGGGATGCAGACATGCAGGCAAAGAGGAGGGAGGGACCGGGTCCGCCCAGTAGTGCTGGTCGAGGATGAAGGGGCAGAGGAGCTGAGGGATGCCTGCCCGCAGTGCTGCTGCTGTGGTGCCGCTGATGGGTGCAAATGGGTGGAGATGGGTGCTTGGGGTTGCGCGGAGGTACAGTTATGGGCATGGGGGGTTGAGCGGGATGAAGGGACAGACGAGCTGGGGCACCCCTGCTCGCAACGCTGCTGCTGTGGTGCCGCTAAGGGGTGCAGATGGGTGCAGATGGGTGCATGAGGGTGTATGGGGGTGCATGGGGGTGTACGGGGGTGCATGGGGGTGTACGGGGGTGCATGGGGGTGGAGGGACTGTACAAAGGGCATAAGGGCAGCATGTCATCACGCATGCACGGGTCCATCTGCAGAAAGATCCGATATTATCCGCCCCCCACCCCTCTCCCACCCCACTCCTGCCCCATGCCACCCACCTGCCGCCATGCCACCCACCTGCCGCCATGCTGCAGCACGAAGAAGCAGCGGGAGAAGAGCCACTCGTGACAGACAGCCCCCCACCCTCCCCCTCCTCCACTCATCCCCCCTCCATTTTACCACTCGCAACCCCCCTTCCTTCCTCCACTCGCAACCCCCCTTCCTTCCCGCCTCCCCCCAATACCACACACCTGCCAGCATGGTGCAGGACGAAGCAGCAGCGGGGAAATAGCCACTTGTGACTGACAGGCCTGGGAAAGCGTTAGGGGAGAAGTGGTGCAAAGCATTAGGGAAATACAGGGGACTCATGACGACTCAACGCAAAGTGACTCCTATAGAACAGTGGGCAACGGGTATCGACTCAGCCCAGATAACAGAGGCCCTTCATTCATTTGCAGCAACCTGAGTACATTAAGGTCCCCTTCCCGCCACACACACCATCCCGGCCCCCATGCCACCTATCTTCCCGCCACACACACCATCCCGGCCCCCATGCCACCTATCTTCCCGCCACACACACCATCCCAGCCCCCATGCCACATATCTTCCCGCCACACACACCATCCCGGCCCCCATGCCACCTATCTTCCCGCCACACACACCATCCCGGCCCCCATGCCACCTATCTTCCCGCCACACACACCATCCCGGCCCCCATGCCACCTATCTTCCCGCCACACACACCATCCCAGCCCCCATGCCACCTATCTTCCCGCCACACACACCATCCCGGCCCCCATGCCACCTATCTTCCCGCCACACACACCATCCCGGCCCCCATGCCACCTATCTTCCTGCCACACACACCATCCCGGCCCCCATGCCACCTATCTTCCCGCCACACACACCATCCCGGCCCCCATGCCACCTATCTTCCCGCCACACACATCATCCCGGCCCCAATGCCACCTATCTTCCCGCCACACACACCATCCCGGCCCCCATGCCACCTATCTTCCCGCCACACACACCATCCCGGCCCCCATGCCACCTATCTTCCCGCCACACACACCATCCCGGCCCCCATGCCACCTATCTTCCCGCCACACACACCATCCCGGCCCCCATGCCACCTATCTTCCCGCCACACACACCATCCCGGCCCCCATGCCACCTATCTTCCCGCCACACACATCATCCCGGCCCCCATGCCACCTATCTTCCCGCCACACACACCATCCCGGCCCCCATGCCACCTATCTTCCCGCCACACACACCATCCCGGCCCCCATGCCACCTATCTTCCTGCCACACACACCATCCCGGCCCCCATGCCACCTATCTTCCCGCCACACACACCATCCCGGCCCCCATGCCACCTATCTTCCCGCCACACACACCATCCCGGCCCCCATGCCACCTATCTTCCCGCCACACACACCATCCCGGCCCCCATGCCACCTATCTTCCCGCCACACACACCATCCCGGCCCCCATGCCACCTATCTTCCCGCCACACACATCATCCCGGCCCCCATGCCACCTATCTTCCCGCCACACACACCATCCCGGCCCCCATGCCACCTATCTTCCCGCCACACACACCATCCCGGCCCCCATGCCACCTATCTTCCTGCCACACACACCATCCCGGCCCCCATGCCACCTATCTTCCCGCCACACACACCATCCCGGCCCCCATGCCACCTATCTTCCCGCCACACACACCATCCCGGCCCCCATGCCACCTATCTTCCCGCCACACACACCATCCCGGCCCCCATGCCACCTATCTTCCCGCCACACACACCATCCCGGCCCCCATGCCACCTATCTTCCCGCCACACACATCATCCCGGCCCCCATGCCACCTATCTTCCCGCCACACACACCATCCCGGCCCCCATGCCACCTATCTTCCCGCCACACACACCATCCCGGCCCCCATGCCACCTATCTTCCCGCCACACACATCATCCCGGCCCCCATGCCACCTATCTTCCCGCCACACACACCATCCCGGCCCCCATGCCACCTATCTTCCTGCCACACACACCATCCCGGCCCCCATGCCACCTATCTTCCCGCCACACACACCATCCCGGCCCCCATGCCACCTATCTTCCCGCCACACACACCATCCCGGCCCCCATGCCACCTATCTTCCCGCCACACACACCATCCCGGCCCCCATGCCACCTATCTTCCCGCCACACACACCATCCCGGCCCCCATGCCACCTATCTTCCCGCCACACACACCATCCCGGCCCCCATGCCACCTATCTTCCCGCCACACACACCATCCCGGCCCCCATGCCACCTATCTTCCCGCCACACACACCATCCCGGCCCCCATGCCACCTATCTTCCCGCCACACACACCATCCCGGCCCCCATGCCACCTATCTTCCCGCCACACACACCATCCCGGCCCCCATGCCACCTATCTTCCCGCCACACACACCATCCCGGCCCCCATGCCACCTATCTTCCCGCCACACACACCATCCCGGCCCCCATGCCACCTATCTTCCCGCCACACACATCATCCCGGCCCCCATGCCACCTATCTTCCCGCCACACACACCATCCCGGCCCCCATGCCACCTATCTTCCTGCCACACACACCATCCCGGCCCCCATGCCACCTATCTTCCCGCCACACACACCATCCCGGCCCCCATGCCACCTATCTTCCCGCCACACACACCATCCCGGCCCCCATGCCACCTATCTTCCCGCCACACACACCATCCCGGCCCCCATGCCACCTATCTTCCCGCCACACACACCATCCCGGCCCCCATGCCACCTATCTTCCCGCCACACACACCATCCCGGCCCCCATGCCACCTAACTTCCCGCCACACACACCATCCCGGCCCCCATGCCACCTATCTTCCCGCCACACACACCATCCCGGCCCCCATGCCACCTATCTTCCCGCCACACACACCATCCCGGCCCCCATGCCACCTATCTTCCCGCCACACACACCATCCCGGCCCCCATGCCACCTATCTTCCCGCCACACACATCATCCCGGCCCCCATGCCACCTATCTTCCCGCCACACACACCATCCCGGCCCCCATGCCGCTTATCTTCCCGCCACACACACCATCCCGGCCCCCATGCCACCTATCTTCCCGCCACACACACCATCCCAGCCCCCATGCCACCTATCTTCCCGCCACACACACCATCCCGGCCCCCATGCAACCTATCTTCCCGCCACACACACCATCCCGGCCCCCATGCCACCCATCTTCCCGCCACACACACCATCCCGGCCCCCATGCCACCCATCTTCCCGCCACACACACCATCCCGGCCCCCATGCCACCTATCTTCCCGCCACACACACCATCCCGGCCCCCATGCCACCTATCTTCCCGCCACACACACCATCCCGGCCCCCATGCCACCTATCTTCCCGCCACACACACCATCCCGGCCCCCATGCCACCTATCTTCCCGCCACACACACCATCCCGGCCCCCATGCCACCTATCTTCCCGCCACACACATCATCCCGGCCCCCATGCCACCTATCTTCCCGCCACACACACCATCCCGGCCCCCATGCCGCTTATCTTCCCGCCACACACACCATCCCGGCCCCCATGCCACCTATCTTCCCGCCACACACACCATCCCAGCCCCCATGCCACCTATCTTCCCGCCACACACACCATCCCGGCCCCCATGCCACCTATCTTCCCGCCACACACACCATCCCGGCCCCCATGCCACCCATCTTCCCGCCACACACACCATCCCGGCCCCCATGCCACCCATCTTCCCGCCACACACACCATCCCGGCCCCCATGCCACCTATCTTCCCGCCACACACACCATCCCGGCCCCCATGCCACCTATCTTCCCGCCACACACACCATCCCGGCCCCCATGCCACCTATCTTCCCGCCACACACACCATCCCGGCCCCCATGCCACCTATCTTCCCGCCACACACACCATCCCGGCCCCCATGCCACCTATCTTCCCGCCACACACACCATCCCGGCCCCCATGCCACCTATCTTCCCGCCACACACACCATCCCGGCCCCCATGCCACCTATCTTCCCGCCACACACACCATCCCGGCCCCCATGCCACCTATCTTCCCGCCACACACACCATCCCGGCCCCCATGCCACCTATCTTCCCGCCACACACACCATCCCGGCCCCCATGCCACCTATCTTCCCGCCACACACACCATCCCGGCCCCCATGCCACCTATCTTCCCGCCACACACATCATCCCGGCCCCCATGCCACCTATCTTCCCGCCACACACACCATCCCGGCCCCCATGCCACCTATCTTCCTGCCACACACACCATCCCGGCCCCCATGCCACCTATCTTCCCGCCACACACACCATCCCGGCCCCCATGCCACCTATCTTCCCGCCACACACACCATCCCGGCCCCATGCCACCTATCTTCCCGCCACACACACCATCCCGGCCCCCATGCCACCTATCTTCCCGCCACACACACCATCCCGGCCCCATGCCACCTATCTTCCCGCCACACACACCATCCCGGCCCCCATGCCACCTAACTTCCCGCCACACACACCATCCCGGCCCCCATGCCACCTATCTTCCCGCCACACACACCATCCCGGCCCCCATGCCACCTATCTTCCCGCCACACACACCATCCCGGCCCCCATGCCACCTATCTTCCCGCCACACACACCATCCCGGCCCCCATGCCACCTATCTTCCCGCCACACACACCATCCCGGCCCCCATGCCACCTATCTTCCCGCCACACACACCATCCCGGCCCCCATGCCACCTATCTTCCCGCCACACACACCATCCCGGCCCCCATGCCACCTATCTTCCCGCCACACACACCATCCCGGCCCCCATGCCACCTATCTTCCCGCCACACACACCATCCCGGCCCCCATGCCACCTATCTTCCCGCCACACACATCATCCCGGCCCCCATGCCACCTATCTTCCCGCCACACACACCATCCCGGCCCCCATGCCACTTATCTTCCCGCCACACACACCATCCCGGCCCCCATGCCACCTATCTTCCCGCCACACACACCATCCCAGCCCCCATGCCACCTATCTTCCCGCCACACACACCATCCCGGCCCCCATGCCACCTATCTTCCCGCCACACACACCATCCCGGCCCCCATGCCACCCATCTTCCCGCCACACACACCATCCCGGCCCCCATGCCACCCATCTTCCCGCCACACACACCATCCCGGCCCCCATGCCACCTATCTTCCCGCCACACACATCATCCCGGCCCCCATGCCACCTATCTTCCCCCCACACACACCATCCCGGCCCCCATGCCACCTATCTTCCCGCCACACACACCATCCCGGCCCCCATGCCACCTATCTTCCTGCCACGCACACCATCCCGGCCCCCATGCCACCTATCTTCCCGCCACACACACCATCCCGGCCCCCATGCCACCTATCTTCCCGCCACACACACCATCCCAGCCCCCATGCCACCTATCTTCCCGCCACACACACCATCCCGGCCCCCATGCCACCTATCTTCCCGCCACACACACCATCCCGGCCCCCATGCCACCTATCTTCCCGCCACACACACCATCCCGGCCCCCATGCCACCTATCTTCCCGCCACACACACCATCCCGGCCCCCATGCCACCTATCTTCCCGCCACACACACCATCCCGGCCCCCATGCCACCTATCTTCCCGCCACACACACCATCCCGGCCCCCATGCCACCTATCTTCCCGCCACACACACCATCCCGGCCCCCATGCCACCTATCTTCCTGCCACACACACCATCCCGGCCCCCATGCCACCTATCTTCCCGCCACACACACCATCCCGGCCCCCATGCCACCTATCTTCCCGCCACACACACCATCCCGGCCCCCATGCCACCTATCTTCCCGCCACACACACCATCCCGGCCCCCATGCCACCTATCTTCCCGCCACACACACCATCCCGGCCCCCATGCCACCTATCTTCCCGCCACACACACCATCCCGGCCCCCATGCCACCTATCTTCCCGCCACACACACCATCCCGGCCCCCATGCCACCTATCTTCCCGCCACACACACCATCCCGGCCCCCATGCCACCTATCTTCCCGCCACACACACCATCCCGGCCCCCATGCCACCTATCTTCCCGCCACACACACCATCCCGGCCCCCATGCCACCTATCTTCCCGCCACACACACCATCCCGGCCCCCATGCCACCTATCTTCCCGCCACACACACCATCCCGGCCCCCATGCCACCTATCTTCCCGCCACACACACCATCCGGCCCCCATGCCACCTATCTTCCCGCCACACACACCATCCCGGCCCCCATGCCACCTATCTTCCCGCCACACACACCATCCCGGCCCCCATGCCACCTATCTTCCCGCCACACAAAGCGTAACAACGTATCGACTCACCCATGAAGGACCAGGACCCTCCCACTTGCAAGTAGCCTTGGAGGCAAGAGTGGTGAGGTTGACAAGTGGGGTGATGCTTGTTGCTTTGGTGTTGTGTCTCTTCTCTTCAGAATCGAATCCGTTTCTTTCTTCTGCGTCCCCCCCTCCTCCTCCCCCTGATCCTGTTGCTCCTCTTTTCTCCATAATGCTGCGACTGCACCCTCCAATGCGTCATCGCCACTTGTCACGAGCACAGCTCGCAGGTTGAGGGCCTTAGCTGCTGCAATAATGGTGATGAGGAGCGAGGCAGGGTGGGGTAGCAGACCCATGCTGGGGTGAAGGAACGGGGGGGGGGGGAGGGGGGGAAGGGGGGGATTCGGGGGTGGTGGGGGTGGGGGATGGGGAAAGGGGGACGGGAACAAGGAGGGAGAGGGAACCACTCGCAGGTTGAGGGCCGTCGCTGCGATAATGGTGGCGAGGAGAAAAGCGAGGCCAAGGAGAAGGCCCATGCTGTGGGGAGGGGCAGAAAGAGGGGAAGGAGGGAGCGATAGGGAGAAAAGAAGGAGGAAGGAACCTCATGCTGGGATGAACAAAGGGGGAAAGGTGGAGAAGAGGCAATATAGTGTGGCATCAAGTACAAAGTACAGCGATAAGAACCCCGGTAGCGCCCATCTTCGCCACCCTTTTTATGAGCTAGCTAGATGAGGAGAGTTATATCAAAGGGCAGACCATATGCCATTCATTCATTACAAATGCTTCGACATGGAAGTGTGATCGGTAAGTGGCATATGATGTCTTCTAACATAACGTAACTCCTCATCCAGCCAGCTCATAAAAATGGTGGCAAAGATGAGTGCTACCAGGGTTCTTCTTGCCATACCTTGTAACTGGTGACATAGTATATTGCCAAATCGAAAAATAAAAGAAAAGAAAGGAAAGAAAAAAACAGTCAACATCACCCACCTGAGAAGTTGGACTATCAAGAGCCTAAGAGGGTGTTGTTCACTGCACAGTGCAAGATCCTATCTATCACCTCAATTCTAAATAGGATCAGACTATAACGAGAGCAACTCTGAACATTATAGATACGACAGAAAAAACACGAGTTGAGATTAGATCCCTCTATCTCAAAAGCTAATATGGAGGACACGAAGTATTAGCTGAACAATAGAGGTGACCAGCTTCCCCGTATCTATTCCCCCCTCCAACACCCACCTGCCCATGGAGCTAAATCCCACATAGAACACATCGCTCCCGCAGTGCCGTGAGTGACGAGAAAGCATACCAAGAGGGAATGTGGCAAGCTATGGTGCAAGGTACCCCATATTTATTGCCCCCTGCCCACCACCCACCTGCCCTCCAACACCCACCTGCCCATGGAGCTAAATCCCGCATAGAACACATCGCTTTGGCGGTGCCGTGAGTCCGATGCGTGAGGAGGGTGGAGGAACTGGAGGAGCAGCTGCAGTCAGAAAAGAGTGAGAGTGGGAAAGGGGTATGGGTGAGGGGTATGGAGAGAATTGGTATGGGAGAGGAGGTGCACATGGAAAGCAACAGGGTGGTCGAACGGAAAGGCAGCAAAAGGGGCGCTTCACTCCTCATGGATTTTGTTTAGGTGTGTTTTGAGTCGACTCGACTCAAAAGATACAATATCGAAGAAAAAAGAAAACAAAACAAAACAAAACAATATGTCAGAAGGGCCTTACGAGCTCTTCACTTCTGTCCGAGGCTATATGGCTCTTCAACAGGTCTTGAGTTTCCGTTTTCTTTCCTCCTTGAGCTGCCGCTGCTTCTGCCGCCACTTCTTTTGCCGCCTCTGTTGCTGGTGCTGTTGCTGCTACTGCTGCTGCTGCTGCTGCTGCTGCTGCTGCTGCTGCTGCTGCTGCTGCTGCTGCTGCTGCTGCTGCTGCTGCTGCTGCTGCTGCTGCTGCTGCTGCTGCTGCTGCTGCTGCTGCTGCTGCTGCTGCTGCTGCTGCTGCTGCTGCTGCTGCTGCTGCTGCTGCTGCTGCTGCTGCAGCTGCTGCTGCTGCTGCTGCTGCTGCTGCTGCTGCTGCTGCTGCTGCTGCTGCTGCTGCTGCTGCTGCTGCTGCTGCTGCTGCTGCTGCTGCTGCTGCTGCTGCTGCTGCTGCTGCTGCTGCTGCTGCTGCTGCTGCTGCTGCTGCTGCTGCTGCTGCTGCTGCTGCTGCTGCTGCTGCTGCTGCTGCTGCTGCTGCTGCTGCTGCTGCTGCTGCTGCTGCTGCTGCTGCTGCTGCTGCCTCTGGTGCTGCTTCTGCCGCTACTTCTGTTGCTGCTGCTGCTGCCTCTGCCTCTGCCTCTGTCTTCGCTGCTGATGTAACTGCAAGAGAAACATCCAGTGGAAGGCTCTGGAGTGGAGGAGGGAACCAGAAGCCACAGACTTTGATAGATGAAGGCCAGTACGCTGCAGGTGGGGAGAACGGGCGGAGGAGGTGGTTTAGGACAGTGATTGCTTTCCTCAAGATATGAGGCGATTATAAGCGGGGAAGTGATTATTCTTTTGAGGAGCCTTAGAAATGGGAATGGAATATATGAAGGACAGTAAGCTTCAAGGAGTAGGGGCGGGTGGTTTGGGGTTTGCGTGTTGGGGAGGTATCGGAATGCATACTCACATGGGCACTCGACAACCGCTGGGCTGAACCCATACCTGATGGGATGAGGGCATCAGGAGGGAAGGAGGGGAAAGAAGGGAGACGGCGACTGCATCAGAGGGAGGGTACAGTGCTAGCATTTCTATTTACCAGGATTCTCACTTCAATTTTTTTACAGGGAGAGGTGGGCCATGGAGCTATCACAAGTTTTGAGACGTCTCAAAATATGGGGCTATCACGAGTTTTGAGACATCTCAAAATATGGAGCTATCACAAGTCTCAGCACAAGCTAAAAGCCCCCATCTCGTATATATTCTATTCTATCCAGTAAACGATGGAGAGTCCAATACCAATTCACATTGCGAGAATGTGTTTGCACATGCTGTGAAAGAGGGCGACAGGTGCGTTCGAGGGAGTCAGGATTCTTAAAAGCTGTGTGCATAGGATGAGAGAGTACATACAGCAAGGCTGTGGGCGCGGGCCAATCGTGAGTCGGCTCATCTGTTGCTGGATCCTGCACAAGCACAAACCGTTGATCATGCAGCACACTTATTTTGAGACCCCTCGAGACCGAGTGTTGAGACATCTCAACGCTTGTTAGTCGGCTCATCTGTTACTGGATCCTGCACAGGTGTACAGTCGGCTCCTGTTAAGCCTTTTTCATGTGCCATTTCAGTCGACTCAAAAGTCACCTTGTTTTGAGTCCACTCAAAAGTCTCCTCATTTTGAGTCGACTCAAAAGTCTCCTGCACAGGTGTACAGTCGGCTCAAAATATGTCACGTTAAGCCTTTTTCACGTGCCATTGGTCGTGAAGCTTAACCTTGATTTCAAACCTTGAACACAAAACAAGAGGTCTACTGTGACTACATGACTAAAGGAAGTAGAGACAGGAAGGGAGGGAGGGGGGAGGGGAGGGTTGAAGGGGCTGCAGCATCAAGCCATAGAGGTTGTGGGAGGAGGACGCACCAGGAGAGCACAGGGAGGAAGGCACAGAGAAGCTTCCCTCCACCGTGCCCACCGATGGCAGGGGAAGATCAACGGCCACATCCACTCTGCTACTTCCGTCCATGATAGCTGGAGGGAGGGAGGGAGACGAGGGGGGAGAGGAGCGGAAAGTGTCGAGAATGAAGTTTAGGGGCCTAGGGTTTGACCTAGGCGAGAGTGACGAGAAGGAAAGTTGCGAGGGAAGATGCAAGCCAAAAGAGGAGTTCAATAGTAGAGGGCATACAAGATATAGGCAAGGAATTAGGCAAATGGTACACCACCTAGCAGGAAACTAAGATAACTACACTAGGCTACTGTAGGCATTTATATGAATGTATACAAATACATTTCAACACACCCCCTAAATGCCTACAGTGGAAACCCGTGTGTAGCACAAAGTATGCAGGGGTACAACAGGTGCAGTGGAAGAAACAGAAAACAAGCAAGAGCAGTAGTAGCCGGTGCAGGAGTGACAAATACAGCTGTAGCACGCCCTCAGCCAAGGCAGAAGCAGTAGAAGGTGTAGGGGCGGCAGGTCGCCTGAGGAGCAGGCTCTGTGGCTGCAACATGCAGCAGGACAGCAGCGGCTCGACGGCAGCACCTGCAGGCCCCAGCAGCAGACAGCAGAAACAAGGGCAGGTGGCGGCAGGGGCGGCAGCAGGAGGTGCCACGGTAGCAGCGGATGGCAGCTGCAGATGCTTGACTGTTTTCCCACCACCCTCTCTTACCCTCCCCCCCACAGCAGCACGAGCGGCAGTGAGAGAGAGAGGAGGGGTGGCTGCTGGCTTTGCAGAATCTCTCTCGCCACCCTCTCACACTCCCCCCGTTTCCCCTCACCCTCCCCCCGCAACCTCTCCCCCCCCCTCACGGCGGACCCCGCTGAAGGGAGGGGTAGGACGGGCTGCAGGCAACTCACACCCGCCACCCCCACATCTCCCTCCCCCCACGGCGGAAGCTGCGGAAGGGAAGGGGGGGGCGGCGTTAGCTGCTGCTCACGCAGGTGCTGGCGACGGGCGCTGGTGCTGGCGCACACGGCCGTGCGTGGGTGCGCACGGTCGTACGCGGCTGCGCGCAGCAATGCGCGCCCGTACGCAGCTGCGCGCGGCTGCTGCTGTGTTCGTGACAGAACGGGGTGGGGCAGGTCGGGACGGGGCGGGTAGCGCTGGGCGGGTGACAGGGCGAAGGAGCAACGGGGCAGTACGAGCCGCCCAGCTCGTCGCCATGACAGCAGAAAGCTTGCCGTCGCGCCCGTCACGTCAGTCGCAACTAAGGGCGCGACGGCCGCCACGAAACGAGGAATACGCGGTGGGCCCATGGAGAAGTTGAAAACAGTAGGCCAGGATGTTACGTGCTCTGTACCATGTCGAGAATGAAGTTTAGGGGCCTAGGGTTTGACCTAGGCGAGAGTGACGAGAAGGAAAGTTGCGAGGGAAGATGCAAGCCAAAAGAGGAGTTCAATAGTAGAGGGCATACAAGATATAGGCAAGGAATTAGGCAAATGGTACACCACCTAGCAGGAAACTAAGATAACTACACTAGGCTACTGTAGGCATTTATATGAATGTATACAAATACATTTCAACAGAAAGAGGGGGAGGGAGTGAGGGAGAGGAGTCTGAGGAGGGGGGACGGCCACATGAGGAGGGTGAGTAGTGCCTGTCAGAACTAGAGCTTAGAATCCATGCATTAGTAGTGAGCTCAAAGCTCTTTAAGTACATAAGAAATGAGCAAGGTATGGATGGGGGCAATCCTAGGGAACTGGAGTAATCCCAAGGCAATCTCCAATTGGTGGGTTGGAGATTGCTTGGAGATCACATTTGGGTTTGGTTGGGGTGTGGGTGTACACCCAACCAAACACAAAGTGCAAACTACACTAAACTAGGATATAAAAAGTACAAGTACAAATGTGAGATTGAGGGCTAACATTAACACCCCCCCATAGGCGTCAATCGAACTCATGGTAGAGAAGGTGGAGCGCATAGCCCCATGGCGCCTAGAAGGCGATGGTGAGGAACCTTCCCAAGGGGCTTGGTGAACAGATCAGCCAAGTTGCAGTCACAAGCCACATACTCCACATTGAGCTACTACCGCTGGACAAGGTCGCGGATGAAGAAGTGCCGAAGTTTTATGTGCTTGGTGCGAGTGTGGTACATGGGATCCTGGGAGAGGTGGATGGTGCTCTTGTTGTCACACCAGAGGGTGGGAGTGGGCTGAGGGTAACCAAGCTCCTGGAGTAGGAAGGTGAGCCAGCGGGCCTCCTGAGCCGCCATGGTGCCAGAATAGAACTCTGCCTCACAGGAGGAGAGGGAGACTACAGACGACCGGGTGGAGCGCCAGCTGACAATTCCGCTCCCAAGGGTGAAGCAGTAGCCTTGGGAGGAGCGTCGGTCAGTCTGGTCATCAGCCCAGGAAGAGTCTGTGTAACCTTCCAGTCGAAGAGGAGAAAGCCCGCCAAGGGTGAGGACATGAGACTTGGTGCCCTGCAGATAACGCAGCACCCGCTTTGCCGCTTTTCAGTGAAGGTCGGTGAAGCGTCCAGGAGCCACGTAGCGAGAGAGGACACTGACAGGGTATGCCAGGTCAGGCCGAGTGCACATCATGTCATACATGAGGGACCCTACAAGCTCTGGGTATGGCTCAGTGCATGCCTCTGGTGTGGGTACAGCTGGAGCGGTGAGGAGGTGTTGCAGCGGCAGTGGGGTGGCCGTAGGTGTGCACTGCTCCATCTCAAACCGTTTGAGCACATTGTTGATGTAGAACTCCTGGGAAAGTGAAATAGTGAGAGCCTGGCGATCGCGAGTAATCTCCATCCCCAGGTAGTGTTTGAAGTCACCGAGGTCTTTCATCAAGAGGGCCTTACTTAGGGCCTCC